CTATTGCCCTCAATCTTTCCCAGCATTTGGCCCTTCTTCAGTGAGTCCTTCCTTCTCATTAGGTGGCCAAAGTATTTGAGTTTCAACTTCAGGATCTGGCCTTCTAAAGGGCAGTCGGGGTTGATCTCCTCTAGGACTGACCGGTTTGAACGCTTTGCAGACCCACCTTAGTGGAGATATAAACCATTTTGAAGTCAGGGGTAACCCCCGCTCTCACAAGAAGCATTCCCCCTTTCCTCGATCCAACTACCTGCCATCTCCCAGGGGAACTGTCAGTCAGAAGGGATAAGGATCTCAAATACAGGAGGCTAAATTTGTGATTCCAAGGATGTCCACTTCATCAGGACCAACAGGTTTGAACTCCTCTCATCTAACTGGGCAAGACTGTGCCTTAGGCAACTCCACAGGACCTGTACAGCTAGATTCCAACTCTGAAAGAGTCTAAACAACTTTTCAGCAAATGACTAGAATAATACAATGCTGAACAAATGTTACCCAGGAGGGACCAGTCTTTCCTAAACAGGGCCACTGATGGGCCCTCTATAGATACAATATGGGCAGAAAAATAACCATATTTCACTACCTTTGTCTTTGTGTGTGTGTGTTTTAACTCTATATTTTTTATTATAGAGTCAAAAGATAAAGCAATATAGAAGAAGGAGGAACAAAAAAAGATGTAGTTGATGAAAATAAAGAGCAAAGAGAAAGAAAAAAGTGATTTCTGATCTTCGTTATAGCAGTTATAAAAGTACATGACATTGCTTTTCTTCTTCAAAATTACATAACACGGTTCCCGTGTTCTCATATTCAAACCCTATTAAACAATACATCCAGAAACCATGTTCATTTTTCTCAATTTCCAGAAAAAGGTCCATAAAGGGGCTCCACTCTTTTATAAAAGTAGTTATTTTTGCCTCCCTAATCCAAGTCAGTTTAGACACTTATGCAAGTTCTCTTCACAGTCCATTTCTCCATTGTGGGTATACTCTTTGTCTCCAGTGGCATTTTAGGCATCTGTTAGGTGGGCCGCTGCTGGATCCACAAGAGTCTGCACAATCCACCCAAGGCCAAAGTCATCCACTTATTCCAAGTGGCAACCAAAGTCCCATTTATACCATCTACAACAACTCCAGGATCTCTTAGAGCAGGGACCATTCAAATTAGCATTGTCTCCCTGCAGAGAAGCACACACCAGAGAACTCAAGAACCAGCAGGGAATGATTTGGTTTTATTGCTTTTGTTTCAGCTGCATATATTGTTTTTACTGATAGTTTGTAAGCTGCCAAAGTTTCATTTTAAGCTGGGTGGCTATAGCAATGTTTGAAATAAAAAATAATAATATAAAATATCTCCTCACTCTAGATCATGTTGTCACTGCCTTGAAATAAATACCAGATCTAATATGTTGTCTTTGCTGTCTAATGAAGGACATCTACTTCCAGATGTCAGACTGTAATCATTATGCATATTTGTGTACAGGTGAATTGGCTTGAAACTGAGAGGAATGTATTTGCAAGTAAGCTTATCTCTATTACTTTCCTATCCTACTGGGTCTAATCATGTATGGTTTCTCTCAAGCCGTTGGATTTATATTCCCACAGAAATAAATAAGGAAATGTAACCTCTCATCTTTTTCACTATATTAGATCAATGCGTAGTCATAGTATCCATTCATCAGAGATCTGCTCTTCAACTGTTTCTTGTTCTGGCACTTACTTAGCAAGCTTACTTGGAATAACAGGTGTTTTTAAAGATGATCCTTTATCTTTTATTCATGGATATACATATTTTGGAGTAGCTTCTAATTTTAGTATTATTATACATAAACAGTGGTAGCTTAGTTTCCATAGTGTGCTTAGTGTAGCATATACATTCAAGGTTTGCTTATTTAAATATTTATTTGTATCCCGCTTTTATTATTTTTACAAGTACCGTAACTCAAGATGTGAACATATCCAGCGTGCCTTTCTCCTCCTATTTAACCCACAGCAACCACCTGTGTGGTGGGTTAGGCTGAGTGTGACTGGCCCAAAGTCACCCAGGTAGCTTTTGTGGCTAAGGTAGGACATGAAGTCATGGTCTGCCTGATTTCTACTTTGGTGCCTCAACCACTACAACAAAATTGGCTCTCAATGGCATCATCTAGACAAGCCTGGCTGATCTGAACAGCTGAGGAAGCATGGACCTTGTTATCTCACCCTTGTTAGACTTCTTTATTAGACTATTAGGAAATCCCAGAACAATAATCTAGATAGAAAAGTGGGGGGAAAAAAATCAGGAGGCAAAGGCAGAAAGAACATTGCTGTTTTGTTGCCAGGCAAATGACACAGACATGTCCAAGTAACAACCGTAGTAGTCAAGTTAAACTTGAAGGAGACTTTATCCTACTAAGATTAATGTCCTAAACAGCTTACAATCCTTTTGGGGAAGGGGAAGGGAATAGTGTCATGTTTGATGGTCCAGCCCAAGTATTCAATTCCGCAGGAGAGGGACCTGATAAAAATGTCTCTGCTGTCAGAGGCTCATTTTGACAGATGACTTTTTTTGCATTGCATCCAGACATTTCCTTTGACGTGTTTCTTCCTGGTGTTCTCAGTATTTAGAAAACTCTGTGGGTAGTTTGGGCAACAGCTGAGGTAATAATACATCAATCTACTACCTTCATGCACTGAACACCAAAAGGTGAAAACCACCACTATTTAAAAATACTCATTTTTAATGATAACTTCTCGTGCCAACTACCTAAATGGAGCAAACTGACATGTATGAAATGTATATACAAGTTGGTCTGGGATTTCAGCATTTGTAATATGCATATGTGTTTACATAGATTTCTTCATTTCTCTAAAAGAGGAAGCAGACCAGTAAGCAGACTTCTGAAAATATGGCTTCAGGAAATAGTGATTTAGAAAGTTACTGTGATGGTTTCAAACACTTAAGATCACTTGAATAGGGTGGCCCTATTATTTAGCAGAATGAGATGATATCAAGCTCAAGCTGAAAGCTGACACAGTGAAATTCAATCAGTCTAATTCTTTATTTGCTTACATCTAATGGCCAGAATCTTTCTCAGACTAAAGCTGTAAACATCTAACAAACCTAATAGACATATCCTAAGAGATTCTAGGCTGTGGCTACCCTGAATCTCTTCCATCCTCCCTATCCAGTTTGGAACTCTTAATTTGGGTTCATTTTTGAATCATCTGTTTCCTCTTGGGAAACTATGCTACTGTTGCTGGAATTTCCCCTCCCTTCTCTAGGTACACATTTCATCACATCTGTTTACATTCTGAGCTTGTAAGTTTTTATGGTAGTATTTTTTCTGACAGGGAGGAGAAAGATGTAGATTATTCTGGCTGGCCTCTTGACTGGCTGCTGTTATTACGTGCTCCAGTTTAGGTAGCAATATTCAGTATATTGGTATGATCCTGCAAATGTCTTCAACGCTTTACTATGGACCAGATAAACCTATTAGATCAATTCCTGAGAGACTAACTGGGACAAGAATAACTTAGATTGAAATAACAAGCATAGAGCTATAATGGAAGAAGTAAGGCCATATTAGTATGTTTACTGTTCAAACAATAAAATAAAAGTTTGCCTTCAGATATTCCAAATGTTTGGTCATAAGAAACAGAATCCAAAGGCTTCTGTATAGTATGAATCAGGGCCCTATTTTTTTTATACTGTGCAATTTTATTTTGATAATGTTAGAAAGGGGAAGGAAGCATCTTCTCAAAACCTTATTCAGTTGTTTCTCTGACTTTTGCAGTTCCAGAAGACATTTCAAAAAACACTTTTCCAGTCATAATATATGCTAGAAAATTGTCTTTACAATTAAAAAAAATACTGTCTCCATATAATTTTATGATAACATGTACCCAAGTCATAGGTGGGAGGGAATTTACCAAGATTGGCCTTTTTGAAAGTGCTACTTTATAGTGTTTGGGGAGAATAGAATAGAATAGAATAGAATAGAATAGAATAGAATAGAATAGAATAGAATAATTGGAAGGGACCTTGGAGGTCTTCTAGTCCAACCCCCTGCTTAGGCAGGAAACCCAATACTATTTCAGACAAATACTTGTCCAATCTCTTCTTAAAAACTTCCAGTGGCGGAGTATTCACAACTTCTGGAGGCAAGTTGTTCCACTGGCTAATTCTTCTAACTGTATAACTATCCTTGCCTTGCACTTCAGAAATTCATTTTATTAATAACCATTTAAAAAAAATCACATGTTGCCTCTTGTATTGTATAATTTGCATATTTGCCTGTTTCTATAAGTTCATTAATTTACAACTTAGTATCAGTAACTTTCTCTGATAATATGATCGATTTGTCTCTAGAAGTTGGTGGCTCTGGTACTCCACCAAACTTTGGTTAGCATCCGCAAACCCAAGTCTGGCTGAATAGACATCTTGACGCTCCAACTACTTCATTAAATGATGAAAACAGCATCGTTCCACTGCACCATAAACCCCCGGACTTTGCTTCATCGGACAGACCAGATCAGATCCCTTCTGCAGATCTGACATGGATCATAATGGGAGTGGCCTGGATGGATAGGGATCCTCATGGATATTTGTTAGATATGCTCTAAGGTCCTTGTTTTGCAGTGTGCCTTATACCTATGAGATTTTCATGACATTTTTGCTCTGCCACTTTTCTTGAGAGATTCTAGGGAAATTAATAGAATGAATTTCAATTATAAAGAGCCAAGAGATAAAAAATGAATTTGTGGTCAACTCATTTCATAAACTGTAGCTAAATCCAAATGTCAATAAACCAGAGAAGAAATGATTTAAAATGTTCTGAGACTCCCCACCATAATGAATTCACTAATCAAGGAGAATTGGAAATTCCCTATTATTGTTGTTAAAGTCACTTTATTGAAATCTGTGTAATTCTTGCTTCCTTGATCATGCCCAGCTGCATGGGACTTCACACTTGCTGCAATAGACATGGATTTAATGGAATACGAACTTTGATGTCTCATTAGGTGGTATCATGACAATCTCACACGTCATGCAGCAGAAGCTCTTCTTCTTTCCAATGGTACTGATGGAAGCTATCTCCTGAGAAAAAGCAATGGCAAGACTACTCTTTTTTCTCTTTCTGTAAGGTATAGTATTATGAATATTTCTTACATTATTTTCCTGTGAGCCTGCTCATATTTTGAGTTCTGTATCTGCTTTCTTTCCCACTACTATCATATATTTAGCAGCTGGCACAAGAAACAAAATCTGATTGTAGTACACCCAACCCTCTTGACTCTACTATTGATCAATTTGTATAAGTTAGTTGGCAAAATCCAATTCATATGGGCACCAGTGAAATAGCTACAACTAAGGAACATTTAAATTTGAGTGCAATACAAAATTTTAAAAAAAATCAAAAGTAGTATAATTTAAATACTCATAACTAATCAGTTAATCTGTTAAGCATAGTGCAGATAATCCTCAAGTTATGACCAACCATTTAATGACCATTCAAGTTAAATGGTGTTAAAAAAAGTGACTTGCATTTGGTTCCTGTGGTCACATGATCAATATTTGAGTGCTTAGCAACTGGCATGTATTTACAATGGTTGCAATATCCCAAGATCATGTGATTTCCATTTGCAATCTTCCCAGGGGGCTTCCGATAAACAAAGTCAAGGAGGCAAGTTGGAGTTGCTTAACAACAGTGGCAAAAAGGTTGTAAAAATGGGCACAACCACATTACTTAACAAACACATTGTTTTGGGATGGATATTCCAGTCCCAAGTGTGGTTATAAGTTGAGGACTACCTGCACTGAACATATGACCACAATATCTTATATAACAGTGTGCTAAAATAGAACTAGAAATTCATGAACTACAGACTACATGTGATCCCTGAGACATTATTTTTGTAGGTTACCTGTACTTGCATGGATTTCAGCTTACATGAAAAACTTACATTCAGCTTACATTAAACATAAGAACTGTTTGCATAGATTGGTTTGTAAAATGCTGAAGTCTCAAATACCTGCAAACTAGAATGACCTTTCATTTATTGTAATTTTGAGATTTACAGTCTGAAACTCATGTCCTTCAGTGATAATGCATTAGTTTTAGTGATATTATATGCTTACTGTTCCTATTAATGGATAAGAGATAAGTGCATTTTGTTTAGCTATACAGATGATAGTCAGAGGTACAGAATAAATGGTGTGGCAGATAGGTAAATCTCAAAAACTTCTTCTATTTGAAATGCTGAGAACAAGACCTGAAAACACGATTTTATTCCTGCTCTTTTCTTTTGGGCTACTGAGAAAGAGCCTCAAATGTTACCATCAAGCTAGCATTTCTCCTAAGATCTGAAGATGAGGAACTGAAAGAGGAGTAAATCAATAGTTCTCTCCAGTGGGAAAAAAGGAAGCTGCCGTATCTCAAAATCATCAAGAGCTTCGTAATTGCTCCTATAAGGCAGTTGAGCCACAAGTAAATCAGCTCAGCTCACCAGTGCTGATTAAGTTAAGGGGACATAGAAGCATGGAACTGCTTTCAGTCTGGTTCGGAACTCTATGGAAGGCGCCAACTTCCAAAGTTCCTGGTCATCATGGCCCTGTGTAGTTCAACTTACTTGGAAGGCACCAGGTTAAGGAAGGCTGGTATACATCAAAGGAAAATAATAAGTGGATTAATATAAGATGAAACTTAACTTTCTCACAATGAAGCTTATAATTTTTTCTGAAGGATGGATGGTAGGGAGTACCATAGGCTTAGACTACTGGGAATGAAAGAAAACATGAATAAATTCTTTATGAAGATAAGGGAGTTTCTTGTTGCTAACTCTCTTATTTAATGGACTTCTGGAACCAGTATAAACAGTTCATACAGTTAATCACTTCCTTTATTTTTTTTTTCAGAGCAAAAGATTCTGTAAAGCATTTTCACGTGGAATACACAGGGAATTCATACAAGTTTGGCTTCAACGAATTTTCAGATTTGAAAGACCTGATCATGCATTTTGCGAATCAGCCTCTAATAGGTAGTGAGACAGGTAATCAAAATTTTCTTTTTCTCTTTCTTTGGAATATTTTATTGTGAAAATTGAATTTAAAGATTTTATAGTGCAGTTTTACTTTAAATCTCTTTTTTTAATATCTTCAGACCAATCCTCTTTGTAAGTGTTATAGGTTTCTGCTGCCTACAACCAAGTTCTTCATATTTAAATTAATATGTAATCATTACTTTTTGCTGTCAGATGTTCAGGCATTGCAACAGTAGTTTGTTAGTCTATATTGCATATTAGAAAATGTTTCCTAATGGGATAAATGTCTCAGGATGTGAGGAGAGGAGAGCACAGGTTGGCTTAGAAATTACAATGCATTTAATTCAATGCTTTACAGAAAAGGCTTTTTCGTCTCTTGCCATCAAAAGCAGGCCAGGGAAAAGAATGGCCTCAAATGAAAAAGAAGCAAAACTGCTTATAGGTAGTCCTTGACGTATGACTACTCATTTAGTGTCTGTTCAAAGTTATATAGCACTTTTTTAAATGACCAGGTCCTCACACTTATGAGCTGCTTCCCAATAGTCATATGAGCAAGATTTTGTGTGCTTGGCATGTATTTACAACGATTGCAGTGTCCCGGGATATGGTGATCACTATTTGTGAGTTCCCAGGGGACTTCTGACAAGTCAGTGAGGGAAGCTGGATTCATTTAATGAACACATGATTTGTTTAAAAACCATTGCAAAAAAGGCAATAAAATTGGGTGGCGGTTGCATGATGATTCACTTAACGACCAGCATTTTGATTATGTTCTGTCAGGTTCTCTGTGACTTTAGGGCCATCTAGAGAGAAAAAGCATGCTCTGTATGAATATGAGAGGGGCCTTCTTGGGGGCCAGTTGCAGTTTGGGGATCCCCTGGCAAAGGGAGGAGTTGCAAAGTTGGATTATTCCAATGCTTTCTTCTTTTTTCTAGCAAGTGAAAAGTTTTTTTTATTCATGCAATTCTGCAGCCTTTTTGCTGAAATAGATTTTAACTTTGTGAGTGATATTTAGTTTTTATGAACATGCTAAAATAGATATGTGTTATGTTTTACATATAATTTTGTCCCTTATTTGTGGATTATCTAGTGGCAAACAATAGTATTGCTAGTGGAAAGAAAGATATAAATTTAATTAAAAAAATAGTTCTAATACAATAGTTGGAGAAGTAGTCAATACACACAGTTAATTAAGTTAAATACTTTTTCCTTCGGTATCTTTGCTCTCCTTCAGTTCTTTCTGCTGCCTTTTAATAAAAGATAAAAGGTTGCAGACACTGGCTCTTTGCATAACCAGTAGTTTTCCTATTAATAACTATATACTTTGTTAAAATCACTGCAGTCTTGGTTTTGCTGGACTGATTCCACAGAAGTCATTCCTTTGCAGTTCTTCTTTTGAAATCTTTGGATCCATTCTTATACAGCTTACAATTTTAAATAACACCATCTTGATATAAATAGTTTTGAAAGAGTCAAAATGTAATCTTTCAAAATGTAATATTTTATGTATGATCCATCTTTCATGTATAACATAGTCCAGACATTGTTCATTTATTTTTGCTTTCTGTACATGCTCCAATGTAATCTAAATTGTGCTGACCAAAGAAAAAGAAAAAAGCTTTCTGCTACTTTAAAAATGTTACTGCTATAGCTTGCAACATACAGTAGCCTTCTTTTCTCTCCTTTTTCCTTGGCTCACAAATGTACCACTTCACTTCTGGCTTCTCCCTGGAGCTTTAAAATGTGTCCCTTTGCTTTTCTGCCTGCAAAGTAATAAGTGAAAGTTTCTAGGCTAGTTGCTAGCTATTGAACTATTGTGTATTCAGAGCTTAGAGATGCAGAGTTGCAACAAGCTTGATAGATAAGGAAATTCAAACAAAAGAAGAAATCTTTAGATGCACAGAAACTTTGCAATGTTAAGGAAAAAAATGCATTAGTTATAAAAGGAAGAACCGTTTTGATTAGGACGTGCCTTCTCTCCTCTGTCTCGCAGTGAGTGTGGGAGGGAGACAAGAGATTGCGACACCCAGCTATTTCTTTGATCAAAGAAATAAAACTGTGTTCTTTCAGTAACTCGTGTTCAGAATCTTTTTGGATTTATCAGAATTCTGAGATGAAAAACATTATAGTTTAGTTTGGTTTGGCTAAAATGCTGTATGTAATAGATTTGGGATAAGTATTGATTTTACCCTTATTTAATTTTATTACACAAGTAAATACTTGAATAGATCATTCCGGGTGGCTTAAGAAAGCATTTGAAAAGATAGGGAGGCAATTGAGTTAAAGACCAGAAATGGTTTAATCTTGTTCAAGTGTCAAGTCTATTTCCTGATACAAGTGTTAAAACTCATTGACTGACCCCAACCTACAGGGTGCCTAGAAACTTGAGCTCTGTTGTTACAGTCCCTAAATAGGTTGCTATTTAACACAAGATATGGTTCAGATTTTTGATGAGCAACTACTGCTGGAGCAGGTCCAGATGAAGAAGAGGCTCCCATTATCAACTCATTATGTGTCAAGGAAGATCAATGGGCTGAACTTTAAGAATGCTAAACTTTAAAGTATCTGGCCATTCTGAGAAAAGAAAAGATGATAAGGAGCAATAAGCTCTCTGCTTTGTTTTTTGACAAAATCACTTCAGTGTGGTTTTATTTTAAGAGAACTCGACCTTTGCGCAGATTAGGTCCTACTATACTTTTGTTCAAATCCTTCAAATGCTTTGCTTTTCTATACTTAGGATCAGGCACTGGGATATTGAGATTCAGTTTAAACACATTTGAGGATTCCCTGATTTATAGGGCACATGCAAATCATGGGAATGCTTTAAGATGGCAAATATCCTGCAGTGATCATCCGGTCTTTTTTCTTTTTATTTTTTAATAAATATTTTATTAATTTTCTGGTTTTACAATCATAAATACTTAATAAACAATGTGTTGTCTGGTTCCATCAGTAATTCAGTGGTATATATTAACTACCTCAATCTAGGTACAATACTATACCATCAAGTGCTCCCTCTCTTCTTCCGGTGTTATACATTTTCTGTACTAGGCTAATACAATTCTTATCGCTGTTAATACATATACAATTGAATGTCAGCATCTTTGTTACATTTTTCTAATATTATATATAATAACAGTAGTGTCAGTTTAAAATATCTTTTCTAACCAAAACATATCTCAGTTGCATTTGCACTTAATATCCATTTGTTCAATCAATATCCTGTTTTTCTGCTTTTTAATTTTTTTTTATTTCCCATCAGTGTTCAAGGTATCTCTATCACTTATAATTTTCTCATAATAAATTATATTTGGGCAACCAAAGGCTTCCCTTGTTCAAAACCTCTTAGCATTTTCATATTTCCCTTCTCATACCAAAATGTAAAATTCTAGTTATAAATCCTATCTTTCTAGTTCTAATAGCACTTCTATTTCTAACAATTATCTATTCTCTTAGCCATATTCAAACATCTCTTTAATAGTATGATATCCCATCTAATGGGTCAGGACCTCTATTTTCTTCAATCTTACTCTAGCTTTCTTCCTTTGCCAACTAACTTTCCAGTCAATACTTTGAATCATCAGGTAGTTCTTCCGCTATTTTTGTGTATATTGTTTGGAATAAGTAAAACAATTTGATTAAAGTATTTTTGGAAGATTGCCCATTGATATTCATTAAACAGCCTCCCTCCTTCTCCAATTTCCCACAATTCTCCTAACAGCTTTATCTTCCATTTGATCACCTCTTCTTCCTTATCCTCAAGAGTGTTCTGAGATCTTGACAGTAAGATGTGTTTTCCATTTCTGGTATTATCGCTACATCTTCTAATTCTTTGTTTGTCTGTTTGTTAATTCCTTCCTTTAGGTCCTCCATCTTTGGATCTGCTTTCTCTAATTTTCCTTCAATTTTTCTGGGTTACTAGTTTCATCTTTATAGTCATTTTTTGAATCTGTGGAATTAGATTAGAAAATTTTTCTTTTATCTCCTTTGTGTTATTTTTAGTCTCAATTGCACCCAAAATTTCCATTACTAAGTGAGACAGTTGGTAAGTGAGTTTTGCTCCATTTTATGACCTTCCTTCCCACAATTGTTGAATGACTCACTGCAATTGTTAAATTGATTACATGGTTGTTAAATTAATCTGGCTTCCCCATTGACTTTGCTTGTCAGAAGATCACAAAAGGGAATCGCATGACCCTGGGACTCTGCAATCATCATAAATATGAATCAATTGCCAAGTGGCAGCATTTTGATCATGTAACCACAGGGATGCTGCAACGATCATAACTGTGAAAAACAGTCATAAATTGCTTTTTTCAATGCTGTTGTAACTTTGAACGGTCACTAAATGAACTACTATCAGTGGTTTTCAACCTTTTGCGAACCCCAACCGGTCATAAGTCGAGGACTACTCAACCGGTCGTAAGTCGAGGACTACTCAACTGGTGCAGCACCATTTGCAGAATGAGACTTTTGGCGGGCTCAGCAGGACAGAGACAGCCTGGATAATTCCTATTGGCTTTTGAAAGCCAATAGAATTAGACTCTATTCAAGAGAGTCTATTCTATTGGCTTTCAAAAGTCAATAGAATAAAAGGGAGTAGCACAGCTAAGGAAAAGGGGGAAAAAATGGCGGGCTGCGTTGTTTGGCGACCCCCATGAAATGGTCGTTCGACCCCAAATGGGGTCCCCACCTACAGGTTGAGAACCGCTGCTGTATATAAATGCAATGTGTAGAGAGAGAAGTGCCCTCAACTTCAACCAACCGAGAACTAAAGAGAAAACTCCTAGTTTATTCTTTGCTGTCCTTCATTAAGAGCACAAAATAATTGTACAATTAAAAATCTATTTCTTTATGCTTGCAAAATACAGGTAGTCCTCAACTTATGACCACAACTGAGCCTAAAATTTCTGTTATTAAACAAAACATTTGTTAAGTGAGTCTCTCCCCGTTTTACGATCTTTCTTACCACAGTTGCTAAGTGAACCACTGCAGTTGTTAAGTAATACACTTGTTGAGTGAATCTGGCTTCCCCATTGACTTTGCTTGTCAGAAGGATGCAAAAGGGAATCACAGGACTCCGGGACACTGCAACCGTCATAAATATGAGTCAGTTGTCAATCGTATGAATTATAATTATGTGACCATGGGGATACTGCAATGGTCATAAGTATGAGAAACCGTTGTAAGTCACCTTTTTAGTGCTGTTGTAAGTTTGGACAGTCACTAAACAAACGGTTGTAAGTTGAGAACTACCTGCACATTATTTTCAAAGATAGAATCAATCAGATCATGGGCAAAATCAGAGGCTTGATACAGGTAGTCCTTGATTTATAATCATTCATTTAGTGAGCAAAAATACAATGACACTCAAAAAAGTGATTGCAACTTTCCTCACACTTATGACCATCACAGCATCTTTGTGATCATGTCCTCAAAATGTGGGCATTTGGCAGCCAGCATGTTTTTATAATGGTTGCAGCATCTGGGATCACGTGATTTCCAGTTGCAACCTTCTAGCTGCTTTCTGACAAGCAAAGTCAATGGGGGAAGCAAGATTCGCTTAATGATCAGATGCTTCACTTAACTGCAGTGATTCGCTTAACAACCATGGCAAAAAAGGTTGTAAAATTGGGCATAAATCACCTTGCTTAGGAACCAAAATTCTGAACTTAATTATGGTCGTAAGTTGAGGATTACCTGTAGATACCAACTTGTTGAAGCTAGGTAGATTTAATTTCCATTCATATTTGAATGGGAAAATACTTGGTATCCTATGAATAGTGATGCAAATTGCCCAGTTCAAATAATAACTTCTCCTAATTTGCTGATTATGGTATCATCCATTAGAATTTTATTTATTCAAGAACCATAGAAACAGCCCCACTCTTTTAGAAAGATCATCTACTCCAGTCCTAAACTAACAGAAACTGTTTCTCATGGCTTGTATCTAAGATGTACTATATATTATTGCCTAGGAATCTGCTTTTATTCTTTCTTCTCCTCCTTATAGTTTATTGTTCATTCAGTTTTAAATATTTTTAATGCACCTTGTACATTATTATAGTTTTTCTTCATCACCAGTAATCCTGCCATCTGTTATATCTGTTAACAGTCAAGAAATTCACACTGTATAATAGTGAATTTGATCTCCAGTGTTGAATGATAGACTTGGCCTATGGTTTAGCAGCTCCCAAATCAGATTCTGCTGGCTCTGTGAAACTCCTTTCATGTTCTTAAAATGAAAAGTGCCACCAGCTGGGAGATAGGTGTTAGATCTCATAATAGCTATGATCCCTTCCATGTTATTTTTCTATATGAAGCAATGCATAGAAAAGGAAAGTTAACAGCAAGAAAAAAAAAGAATTACCATAATAGCCCAAACTCCACAAAGTAGATTGAATAAGTGTCCAAGGATCCAATCTGTGTCGGTCACTGGGACCAGAGGTTTTTGTCTTCTGAGCTTTCTGATTCGTGCTGGAACCCATCTTCAGGGAACTTCTCCCTAACAGAATGCGTGCTAGAGAGAAGTTCCCTGAAAATGGGCTCCAGCATGAGTCCAGTAACTCAGAAGACAAAACTTCTGGTCCCGGTGACCGATCCAGATTGGATCCTGCATCAATAGATTATATTTCCCTTTCCATAGACCAGAGAACAATCTGGAATGAAACTCTTTCATGGTTACAGATAATGGATAATTTTATTTGAAATATCAACTATTTCATTTGATTTTGAGGATTAAACCTTTATAATATGAAACAATATTTAAAAGCACTTTAAAAAGGAACGTTTTAAATATTTATTAAAAATAAGCAAAAACATGACAAGTCCTTAATTTCATAACATATGGACAGACCCAACCATAGTTTCAACTGAGAGACTGTAAGCATCCCAGACCAAGATAAATCAAAAAATGATAGGAAATTCCTACATGCTGAGACAAATCAGTCATCAAGAGATACATAGAGATAAACCAAATTTACACACCATTCAAAATAGATAATAAAAAAGCTAAAAAGGAACCAAAAAGATAAGAACACATCTTCACGCAGATAAACAGGGAGTAACACTGTTTATCAATCAAGCAGAAAAGAGTACCCTAATCAAGGAACTAATAAGGAGACCCCCCCCTCCCTGCCCTTGCCAAACATTGGCAGATCAAGTTACTATGTATAAACATGCACTAGTACTGCTTATGTCAGGTAACAAAATGTCTGCAAGCAAAGATCCAAGCTTAGAGAGCATCAAGGACTCTATAATAAGTAAGGTGTCCTTTGAATCAAATTCAGCAGGTGATTTCATAGAGATGCCATGTAGTTTTCTTGGCAACAATATAAAAATTGCTGGTCACTACCTTTTTCTGGGATGCTTGTTCAATTCCTAAGTAGCCGACAACTCTAGGATTCCCTGGTAAACTCTTCTTCATGTAGTAACTTGTTTAGGTTTTACAATTAAGTAAGATATCTACTGTATGTACTGCACCTTGTTGAGGCTTTATTTGTTATTTAGCTGGGAAGAAGGTCCATGCCTAAATACATCAAAATGCAGGGATACTTCCTTGTAGGTTGACATATTTTGCAAATTGTATTTTTTAGATTAGTGAGGGTGAAACCCAGAATTGGGTTAAGGTGAACCTGAAGGAGATCCCAGTAGGTTTTTGTTGAATCTGAGATAAAGAAATATAAAACAAAAGAGATAAACATGTTTTGTTAAAATATCAAAGTGTTTAATCTTTAAAAATGGAGAAAGATGCTAGATTAGATCTAGGTAAATGTAGTAAGTGATATGTTGTAATGGCTTTCTAAGATCATGTTTCATACTTTTCTGCATGCATTCTGTTATGTAAGGGAAAAGGCTCCCAATTCACCTTTATGGGCTACTTAGAGCTTTCTTTCTCATAGGGACTTTGATTGTATTGAAGCATCCATATCCCAAGAAAGTAGAAGAGCCTTCCATTTATGAATCTGTACGAGTCCACACCGCTATGCAGACCGGAAGGACAGAATTTGACCTCATTCCCAGTGCTCCATCGGTGAGTTCCCATTTTTCTAGTTGGACTACTGGTTGGAGAAAAGAAAGCTTTCCATAGTTTACTATGGAATTAGTAAATAAGATTGTGATTAGAGCTGAAGTGAATCCTTCAGAAGAAAGCATCCATGCTAGAACTTCTTGAGGTTGAAAACTTGGCAAATCTAGAAGACATCAGTTTGGGAAAGATGTGTCTTAGTGAGAAAATGTTCTTCCTCAAATGATGCATTTCTCCAATTAAAGGTAAAGGAGGTGGTACTCATCTCCATTTCCAAGGAAGCCAGCTTTGTCCAAAGACACTTCCATGGTCATATGGCCAGTATGACTATGTGCTGAGGCGGAACACTGTTACCTTCCCACTGAAGTAGTATCTATTTATCTACTGGCATTTGCATGTTTTTGAATTGCTATGTTGGCAAGAGTAGGAGCAAGTAACAGGAGCTCACCCAGTTGTGCAGTGATTGAATCTTGAACCTGGGCAGTCAGCTTTCCAACTGACAAGCTCAGGATCTTTAACCACTGAGCCATTGCACCCCCTTTCAGCAATTAATGTATCTTATAGCATAAAGATTCATGGACATGAAGGCTGGGATCAGAAAATGCAGTGAATTGCAGATGACCCAATTTCATTTTGCCCTAATAGGGGTATTGTATATGTATGTTGACTGAATTTGGTAAACCATATGAATTATGATGAACAAAGGATGTTCAGTTACCTATTGTTTATGTTTGATCCATCTAAAATATGTATTTCATACATTATAGTCAGCACCCACTTTAATACATGTTGCCAGAGGGAATAATTCACCAATTTTTTGATAAAATACATTTTTCATAGGTGTATACTGAGATGAATCTCTTGGGAGGGGGAGCAGATAACTCATTGATAAGAAAAAAGGAATAATTACAGCTGAAAACTACCAACTTCTTTTGCTATTTCAGTCACAGCAAGACTCTGAAAAGACTCATGTTTGAGATGAAGATCTACCTGTCTCCTCCCTTCCCCTATTCCCTGACATCCTTCTCAACCACCCTAATAAACTTTCCTGTGTTTCATTGCAGTTAGGGACTAAAGAAGGTTATCTAACAAAGCAAGGCAAAATAGTTAAGGTAAGCAATCTAAAAGTTGTTCTATTGTTTTTTTTCCCCTTACACATTAAAAACCATCCTGTTAAACATGCTAAGGAGCAGTGCTTGAAAATTACATTGGGCATGCGTGAGCAAAATAAGATCTGGAATACATATATAATATCCAAGAATCGCTGTATTCTTAAGGAACATTTTTCCTTAGCATAGCAGCCTCTAGGCATGTTGACTATCACCCCTATAATTCTCTGTTATGATGGGAGTTATAGTTGAATGCTCCTGGGGGATATTATCTTAATGAAAGCTGTATGAAGCAGAGAACCATTTGAAGCTGCCTTTGGTGGTTCATTTGGAAAAGGCAGCAAATGGTCTATTTATTTAAAAATGCATTTTTCTTGCTATAGAGCAGAGAGTACTTCTTGAACTTTCACCTTAAGTGCTGAAAACTCCAGATTTCAGCAAGAGTGTGCTGCCCCCCTTTTTATGTGCATTATGTCTATGGATGCCATCTTGCGTTTTTTGAGCAGTATTTCTGCCAAAATCTGTTGGCTGTTTCACATATTCCTCTCTTGGTACCATTTTTAGAATTGTCTCTTCATTTCCCTGTTCTCTCACAATTTTTTAAAAAAAAACGTTTTATTGATTTTTTTTTACAATAACAATCCTTACTGCCTGATGTACAGCGTGTTGTCTTGGTTCATAATTTTTTTTAAAAAAAAATACACAATAGTAGTTAATTAACAGTCAATAATAATTAATTTTTATACTTCCATAATTAGTATATTAATAGTATATTTCTTTGATCTTCTCTTCTCCCAATAGTATTCTCCTTCTTCAGCCTTAAACAAGTATAATTTTTAATATTTTCAATGCATAAATGATTAAATATGAACATTTTCTTCCATGTTTGTACCAACAATAATAGCGTCCATATGTGACATTTTTTTTCTTATCAACTTGTGTTATTTTTATAAAAATCAATTTATTGTGTTCACCAGATATCCTATTTTCATAAATCTTGTTTAAGTTTAATTTCTCCTTGATATTCAAACAATTCTTTTTTTTTTATTTATTGAAAGTTTTATAAATTTTACAAAAAGACAAAAATAATACAAAACAAAAAACAACATATACAAAAAAAAACTAAACATCACATATAAAAAAAAAACCCCATCCCCCACCCCTCACAAACACCCTCCCTTCCCCCCCCTGAGCTTCCCAGAGCAGAATATAGGCTTAGTTAAAAATTAACAAATAAAAATAAAAAATTAGATTAAAAAATTTATATTTATATATATAAAAAAAAGTATCTATATATAACATTCTCTATATATAAAAATAAAACTTATGAAAAAGCTATGTGATATTTTTTAATACCCAATCTAAATTGTATAAATTTTATCCATTTATCCCAAACGGCAAGAAACTTCTCTTGCGTTTGTTGCTTTAAGAAAGCCGAAATCTTTGCCATTTCCGCCAGATAAGCTACTTTAAGAAACCATTCCTGCAATGTAGGCAAAGATTCCTTCTTCCAGTATTGTCCTACTAACAGCCTGGCGGCTGTAATCAAATTTAACATCAATACAACCTCCTTTGTATCACAATCTGTAACAATGCCCAACAAAAATAATTGCGGAGTAAATTTTACCCTCCTTCTAAAAATTCTCTGGATATTCCACCATATTTTGATCCAAAATGCTTTTATCTCTCTGCATGACCACCAAATATGATAATAGGAAGCATCCGTATAACCACATCTCCAACATTTGGGTTGTACGTCAGGGTACATAAGAGACATTTTTTGTGGATCAAGGTGCCATCTATAAAACATTTTATAAAAATTCTCCCTAAGGTTCTGTGCTTGTGTAAATTTGACATTTCTCACCCAAATGGTTTCCCAGATATCCAATGAGACTGGGACACCAAAATTCTGCGCCCATCTAATCATGCAGTCTTTAATTAATTCCGTTTCTGAGTCCATTTCAACTAATACCCCATAGATTCTCTTGATATGGGTTTGTCTTTGATCCTTGACTTGCTTAATAAGATTTCCATCTTCTCTAAGAAAACCCAATTTACAATCCACCTTCCATTTATCTACTAGTTGCCTATATTGGAACCAAGAATAAATAATATTTTCTTGCGCTAAATCTTCCCGTAATCTTAACTGCCAGTTTTGCCCATCCCATCTAAGTAACTGACTATAAGACACCATATCCATTTTAACACCTCTTTTTATTCCTTCTATCGCATGCCAAGGTATGGCCCATAATGGAACTTTAAAATCACTTTTATAATATTTTCTCCAAGTCCTAAGTAAAGAGATTCTTAAAATATGAGATTTAAAGACCCAATCCATTTTTTTATTAAATATTAAATAGGCATGCCACCCATAAAGTAAATCCCATCCCTCTATATGAAGTACCTCAGGATTTGTCAAATTTACCCAATCACTAATTAGTCAAACAATTCTTATCAGTCATAATTTTTTCACTATTTAACATCTAAATATCCAAATGTTCCATTTTAATACATCATCCCAATGTTTTCATATTTCATATGTTATAAAAATACTATACTGCTTATCTGTCTTATGACATCTACCTATAACATCTTTTCTGATCAGTTTATATTTCACTTATATTTGTAGAAGTTAATTTGTTAAATCACTATATATCCTTTTTTTCAAAGTTCTTATTTCAGCTTAATTCCCCCCCCCCTCTTCTCTCACAATTGTCCCTTTCTGAATCAGATGTGGCCACCTTACTTTTCCTGATTTCAGACTAAGATTACAGCACAGACCCTGAAAACCTCTAAGCAGTGTTTCTCAACCAGTGTTTCTCAACTTTAAGCTGCGTGGACTTTAGCTCCCAGAATCCCCAGCCAGGATGCAGGACATACAGATATGGGCTTTATCAAGCCATAGGCACACATATTCATAGTAAGAGAAAAAAAAAAGAATTTTGTTTTGAATGGTTGAGTTATGTGACTACAAATATGTGTTATAATTAGTGCTTTTAGATCCAGCTATCTATCAAATTTAGAGTTAAAGAATATTCAATGTATTGGCTGAATTGACTTTTGAATATTCTCAAATCAGAGAAACAAGTAGCCAATCTCAGCCTTTTTCTATGCTCTTTATGAGTTTACTGGCAAGACTACCTTTAGCATTTCTCTAATCTCCAATCTCATTTGAGCTGTGTTTGGCCTCAATCTCACTTCTCCTTTTTCATGTAGATTCATCTGTTGTCTTTTCCTGTTCACATCTCATGTCATGTAGGAGGTTGCAACACCCTCTTCTTTTTCACTTACTAAATCTGCTTTACTTCTAGAATCTTCTTCTGAGCCATCCTACCATTACATTTCCTTTTTTTCCAGTGCCACCTAAACCTTATCTGAAGTAACCTTCTCCAACCTGGTACCTTCCAAATGTGTTTAGCACCTGAAACGTTGCAGATTAGGAAAGGCTACTCTGTGGCATCTCCAAGTCTCATTTAGCTGTTTCTTTCTTATTTTGTTGATATAAGTTGCATTTCCTGTCCATGTATGCTCATTCAGTATGGCTCCTAGAATAGTATGGGAGATGTTACGTGTGTTAAATACAAGTAATTTTCAACTTACAACTTTTTGTTTAGTGATCATTTGAGTTTCCAACAGCAGTGAAAAAAGTGATTTGTGACTGTTTTTCACACTTACAATGGCTGCAACATCCTCATGGTCATGTGATCAAAATTCGGATGCTTGGCAACTGATTCATTTTTATAACGGTTGCAGTGTCCTGGGATCATGTGATCACCTTTTGCAATCTTCTGACAAGCAAAGTCAATGGGGAAGCCAGATTCACTTAACAACTGCAGTGATTCACTTAACAACTATGGCAAGAAATGAAAAATGGGACAAAAGTCACTTAACAACTGTCTCACTTAGCAACAGAAATGTTGGGCTCAATTATAGTCACAAGTCAGGGATTCCCTGTATCATGGTGAGAAAGGGAAGAAAGAGAAGGTTTTTTTTAGTATGTGTTGCTCCTTTTGTGTTGAATTTCTTTCAATTTCCCTTCTCTTTATTCTTTTAGAACTGGAAAACTAGGTGGTTTACATTGCATAGGAATGAGCTGAAATACTACAAAGATCAAACGGTGAGTTGTGTTTTACTCTGTTTGCTTGTGAGAGCGAACACAAAGGAATCAACTGGGTACTGGAAATACTCTACCTCCCAAGTTTCCAGAATAGCTATTGTGAAACTGAGTGCCAGGCAACATGGACTTTGTACTCAATGCCCTTTTTTTTATTTATTCCATGGTGTCAGTTCAGTTAGTGGGCTACACTTACATGGCACCTCTATTCCATCAATGACTGTACTTCCTTTACAGCAGAGTAAAGAAATGCAGACTGCACATTCCTCCCTAGCCCCCAAATTCTCCCCTGAAATTTAATGGCAAAAAATATTTTGTGTTGTAATTATGCATTTTGGACACCAAAATAGTTTTCTTAAGTGTCTTCAAGGTTTAATAATATTAGCTATGTACACCTCAACTCTGCAAAACGAGGTTGCCCTACCCCACCGGTATCACCACAATAGTTGATGTGATACAGATCCTGTGAGCGGTTGGAGGCCGATAAGAATTTTTAAAGTATGGCCCCAAAATGTGGGCTGCTCCTCCTTTACAGAAATGTACTCACAAGAGGCCTAAAGCTATAGCAAGCTAAGCTACATTCATTACTATTGGAGGAGGAAGAAAATCCACCTATTGTTGGATTTATGTTTCTAGGGTTTCTTTTTCCTTCCAGTTGTACTAAGTCTTTTGCAATGTATTAAATCAAACTCGCTAGTGGGTAACTCATAGCAGCTGAGCTGTAGGCAGTCCTGGTTGCTTTCTAGCAGCATCCAGAAATATCATCTTGTTCATCCTGTAGTACACACAGGATGTTAAAATTGCTGGGCATCTACCAGATGAGGCAAAAAAAAGTGCATGTGATGCTATGAGCATACTGATCTTACTATCCTAAATTATGAAACTATGTAATTACAAAATTTGCATCCTTTTTACAATGACATAATGATGCACAGAACATACGACATTATTATTATGATTATGTCCAAACTGACTAAACTAAACCAGTGGTAAAACAGGGATTTTCAGATTCTGTTCACGGTCCTTTAAAAAAAAGATGTGATTTGATTTTGTTTTTTTTTAAAACTACAAGATCAGTTTTATACATTACATTCCTTGTGCATTTTCCACTTCAGTTAGGCACATCAGCCAACCTTTCTCTTACAACCCACACAAACTATAGAGAAGTGTTTTCCTTTGAAAGCCTTCCATATCTATGGACATTGATTGGTAACAAATGACAACATAGATGATGTAAATACAGAAATGCTGCAATTTAGGTACCACAGACCCATAGGATGGCCGGCAAAGGAAGGGCTCGTGGGCCCAATTCACTGTCTATCCTACATTTTCCACTTTAAAGTTCAGCACAATTTTGGAGAGAGATCCAAAGCTGCCCAAAATGAGCTTGGGTGGTATCTGCAGTCTAAATGGAAATTCTTTTCTGTGCAGTTTTTGTCTTGCTCAAGGAAAATTGAGTGCATATACACCCACACACTCCTAGACGTCCATGTTGCCACTTATAAAGAAACTATCTCTTGACAATTTCAATTCAACTGAATTGAATCGATTCATTTTAGGCATACAGGGTTCATTAAAGTCAATAAGATAGCCACAACCATGTGACCAAAGCCCAACCATTTTATGTGTATTGCAACTGATATCTTGATTTTTTTTATTCCTCCCAAGAGCCCCCTTCCCCATATAGCATAATTACACATAAGGTGATACTTCAGACTAGTGCAAGTGTATTTGTGGAGGATTACAGAACTAGAATTAACTTGCATATAATGAGAGGAAGCACCAAGAACCAAGGCAAATGAAGGACAAACTGAAATTGCAAAATAATCTTTGTTTGTAGGGTCTTACTTACTGTTCTGTTTCTTACATGATGTCTGTGATGGGGCAAGGTGGGTAATCATTTTAAATAATAAATCAGAGCAATTGTTTCAAAAATAACATTTTTCAAGTCCACAGAGCCAATCAGAGCACTGGATTTAACTGAATGCTCAGCAGTACAGTTTGACTATTCCCAAGAGAAAGTGAATTGCTTTTGGTAAGTTGAGGTTTAAATACAACTTTGGGGTGTCCTAGTGTATCCTTTCTTTCTTTCTTTAAAAGTTTCTCAGTGCTATTCTGCGGAAACCATTTCTTCTTTTCCTCTTCACCTCACTGCAACCCAAATTGTTCTTATTTGTCATAAATTCAATTAAGACATTGTGCTGGTTTTCCTTGATTTGTCAATTTGCCATCAGAACTAATTGCTTCCTGCTCTCTTTTTGTTCTTATTTATTTTGAACAGCTTTAGAAAATGGCTGTGCTTGAATTCCCAGAATTTTCGTTTAATTAGGAAAGAGCAGTGTACCCATGCATGCTATTTGATTGCTTAGCTCCTCTTGCATATATATGTTGCTTAAGACTGAAACAAAAAGCTGCGGTTTTAATCATCCTAACAAGGAAGGTCAATAGCAGTTTCCATAATTTACCTGGTCGTACTTGGCCTTTGGAATACACTGGCTTGGGCCATACTTGTGTTTCAGTTCAATGGAGTTAATCCTTTTGAATTCTATAAATTTAATTATAACAAAATATGCATTTAACTTACGAGTAATCCTCTATTAGCGACCACAATTGTTACCAGCAACATTGTTTAGCAAAGCAGTCTTTAAGTCAGTGGTTCTCAACCTGTGGGTCGGGACCCCATTTGGGGTCGAATGACCATTTCACGGGGGTCACCAAACCATGCTGTCCGCCATTTTTTTCCCTTTTCCCTAGCTGTCCTACTCCCTCTTATTGGTGGCCACACCCACTTGGGGGTCACCACAACATGGGGAACTGTATTATGGGGTCACGGCATTAGAAAGGTTGAGAATCACTGCTTTAAGTGAAACTGTAATAATTTTTATGATCTTACTTCAGCTTTCCTTTGCTGAAAGTTGTAAATGTGAGGTTTGTAAAGTTATTTTTTCACCCCCAATATGACTGCAAGGTATCACTAAATGAGGCAGTCACTAAATGAGGATTACCTGTACTTTTTTTTTTTTTTTTTTAAAGCAGCCATGCCTTCAGGACATGCTTAAAATGGTTTCTCCAAGCAGGAGCCCCTCCCCAAACATGTTGATTAGGCTTGATGAGAGTCATACTCTGGTAGGCCCTACATATGTCTGATTCACATTAAATGTAGAACTTTGGATGCATCTTTAATGCTGATAAGTTTTTACCTGTTTTGTTTTTCAACCACTAATGCTATTATTCTTTTTTATCATAAGGCTTTGGTCAAATTTCAAGTATTTACCGCAATTGCTTTTTATTCCTATTAAGAAGAAAAGTAAAAATATTTTTAGCTTCAGTTTCTTTGGGAAAATGGAATATTAGTTTCGGAAAATGACTATGGTTTCCTTACATTTGTGAAACAGAGTGTTTACAATTTTATATTTTACAGTTTAGTATTTCCAATGCGGACATATTATCTGTTTGCAAAGACTGGAGTAGAAGCAGATGAGTGGATTAAAATATTGCAGTGGAAACTGGTAAGGAAATTTCCATGATTTGATTAAAATTAAATGGGTAGCAATACAATGACATATAACAGTTCACGCGGAGAGTGCTGATTTCTCTAATTTAATCCTACAATGGTAGCCTTAGAAATACTATATTTAAAAAGAGAAAATCACAACACCCATACTCGTGGACATTTGTACATTCCCCACTCCAAAAAGCCATAGGTTGCTTCTTTGCTTATGCAGGTATTCCTTGACCTGCAACCATTCATTTAGTGACAATTTGAAGTTACAACAGCACTGAAAAAGTGACTTATGACTGCTTCTCATACTTAACGACCGTTGTAGCATCCCCATAATCCAGTGTTTCCCAAACTTGACAATTTTAAGGCATGTGGACTTCAACTCCCAGAATTCCACAGCCAGCGTTGCTGGCTGTGGAATTCTGGGAGTTGAAGTCCTCATGCCTTAAAATTGTCAAGTTTGGGAAACACTGCCATAATCACACGATCAGAATTCGGGTGCTTGGCAATCAGCATGTATTTATGATGGTTGTAGTGTGTTGGGGTCTTGGGATTATTATTTGCAACCTTCCAGGGGAGCGCCTGACAACAAAGTCAATGAGGGAAGCCAGTTTTGCTTAATGACCGCAGGATTCACTTACCTGCAGTGATTCAATTAACAATGGTAGGAAAAAAGGTCATAAAATGTCTGACTCACATTAAACGGAACAACACTTAACTACTGTCTTCCTTAGCAACAGAAGTTTTAGCTCAATTGTGGTCGTAAGTCGAGGACTATCTGCACTGGCTCCAATTCAATCCTTCCTAGCTCCAGATAACAAATAGATCTTAAGAGCAATAATATTCTGCACAAACAATACCAAATTAGATCACTCAAGAATGTGACTTATATACGGTAGTTTCCTATTTTCTTTTTCCAAAAGGAAATGAAACTGTATTAAACATTAGGGCCCAGTGCTTCTATACATGTCACAGAGCACACTCAATTTCACTTTTCTCTGTAGTGTGTCTTTGCAGTCTTCCTGAGCTTAGCTAGTGCAAGTGATTCAGTCATAATGAAACTCCCTCCTCCCCAAAGCTGTTATTTGGACTTTTAAGTTATCCTTTAATACTGCACAATGGTGCTCATTGTGGGTAATCACATGAATTAAAGCTTTATTACGCAAGAAAAGGCTTTTAGTGAATGAGAAGGGTAGTATAGGTGAGGCTTTGAATTGGATTAAATGCTGAATGGAGAATCTTAGCTCTAACAAAAGTGAATGATTTGCCTTTTTGGTAGGAATGAGAAAACAGGAGTGAGGCTAAATTTGCAGTTGGACAGTAGTTTAGTCAAAATGGTTTATTTGTTTGAAACTACTCGAAATCAGCAGGGGTATGGGATGATGACAGCCATCAAGGCAGAATTGTTGCTTTACATTTTCCAAGTAAAACATACAAAATAGTCTAATAAAAAGCTGAAACCACTTAGTTTAGTGACTACTTTTAAAATAAAAAATTATGCATAGAATTGGTAAGAATTCACCAAGTTTAATGTTTCAATCTGAGAAATAAAAAAAGAGTTGTGAAATGCTCAAATGATTTGGGGCAGGGCTTTTTCAACCTTTTCACCCAATGTACCACTTTTAGGATATGGCAACATCCGAGTACCACCAGTCACCTAGCAAGGTGTCAAAAACTTGATGACCCCCCCCCAAAAGGAAAAAAGTGATAAAGTACAGGTAGTTCGCTTAGTGACTGTTTGAAGTTACAATGGCACTGAAAAAAGTGCCCCCCAAGCCACAGCCGAGCAAGACACCTGCCTGCCCGCCCGGCGGTGTTCTTCCTCCTGCCGGAGGTTTTCATTGTTGTGAGCATTTCCGTTGAGGATTGGCAGCAGGGATGGGGTGGGGGGTGTTTGGTTTTTATTCCCCCCATCTATTGGGTGGTTGCAGCAGGTTTTGGTTACTTCACATGACCCTGGGACACTGTGACCGTCATAAATATGAATCAGTTGACAAGCATCTGAATGTAAATCACAAGACCCTGGAGATGCCGCAACATTCCAGCTGATTGGCGCTTCTTCTAGGCTCAGAAGAAGTGCCAGGATCAGTGCTGCTTTCCAGCTGATTGGTGCTTCTTCAGGGCTCAGCAGAAGCACCAGGATCAGCACCGAGCTCCAGCTGCAGCCTGGTGCTGACCCTGGCACTTCCGCTCAGCCCTGGCAGCCCCAAAGAAGCGCCGATCAGCTGGAAAGCGGCATTGATCCTGGTGCTTCTGCTGAGCCCTGACAGCCCTGCAGCTCCAGCCATCTCTCGCCCAGGCTTGTGCGGTGTTGTCACCGGTTCAGCTCATTGCCCTCCCCCACTACCACTTTTCTAGGATGGTTGCGTACCACCTGCAGGTGCCAATGTACCACAGGGGGTGCCCGTACCACTGGTTGAAAAGCCCTGATTTGGGGGAATGATTTGAAGAGAAATATTCTTAAATTCAAATAACCAAGTCGTGTTATAATAGGACTTGTTTTCTTTTTCTATTTCTTTTACGGCATCAACCTTCCCCCCCAACACTGATATCTTTGTGTCTTATCAAACTATTCTTTCATCTTTATTCAGTCAATCCTGCTTAAAATATATAAAGTTGAGAAGTCCTCTCCATTATTGGCCCTGCTGCAGTGTTTATTTATTTTTATTTACTTTTTTAATATTCAGTCATAAAAAGGGCTCCCAGTGGCTTACATTTAGAAGACAAATTGAATATTTGTTGCAATAATAAAAGTCAGTAATATTAATAAATATCAATATGATAAATATGAATGCAAAGCTGAATGCTTTTCAGTTCCCAGATGCCCTTCATGAGACTTGCATTTTCATTTTCATTTTCACTGTTTCCAGAAGGCCAGCGATGAGGGTGCTAAGCTTTCCTCCGAAGGGAGGCTATTCCCAAACTTGCTACCAAGGCTGTAAATTTCTGGGCAGCCAATTCAGCAACTGCAATACTGATACTGTGATCATGGTAACCTTGTGCTAATATGAGACCCACTGCATTTTGAACAAATTATACTTTCTTGTGGTGGGGTGTGTGTAAAATTCTAATTATTGCTAATTGCCATATACTACAAGGGTGGGCAACAATGGCAATCTTATGACCTGTGGATTTCAACTCCCAGAATTCCTGAGCCAGCCAGAAATTCTAGGAATTGGAAGTCCACAGGTTGTAAAGTTGTCATAGTTGCCCACCCTGATAGACTACCTTTTGTATACGATATATACTATAGTGAACTGATTAGAGATGATGGGAGATATAGTCTAGCAATATGCAGAGAATATCAGAAGCTCTTAAATTACACAGTATTTTAATTTACTTTTATTTATAAATTCGTTTCAACAGCAAATATTTTCTCCTTTATATTTTTGTTTCTAGTCCCAGATAAGGAAAAAACGCCAGCCTGATGCCACACTCAGGCCATAGTAATTTTGGTTTCAAATCTAACTGCACGGCAATCAACATCGGTTCATATTCATACTCCCTTCAGATTCGTTATTCAGCATTAAGAAGTGCTGCACCAGATCAGATCAAAGGTTTTTAAACTCTGCAGTTGCCGACTTGCTGACAACCTATTTCCAGGAAATTCTTGAACACTCTCTTAAAGCAGAAGACGATTACCTTGGAAGACGGATATTCACCTGTTCAACATTTCATTATTCTGGATACGCCCGGTGATTACTGGCATTCTGTATTTGCCTTTGCTGCCAAGTTTTCACTAGTTCTTTGTATGTAAGCAGTTTCAATGAAAGTACTTAGTTTCATAGCATGAACCTGAACTTGTTGTGTACTCTCTCATCATGGCTATCATTCTGTATGCTTCAAACCATTTACACTGTGGTCTGTTAAGACACATTACCTGCACACAGTTTTTTTTTAATAGTTTTGATTTCATCTGTGGCTTTGACTGGTGTTAAGAATCTTTTGTTAACCCTTCTAAATCATTTTCTCAGAACTACTGCAGTTTGAATTCCCTGATGAGCGATCGTTATAATTTACTGCTAGTGGAACAAATTTCTATGGGCAAGATATTTTTTTAACACTGGGAGTTACAGGTAGCCCTTGATTTACAGCTATTCGTTTAGTGACTGTTCAAAGTTAAAAAAAGCACTGTAAAACATGACTCATGACTCGTTTTCACACGATCGTTGCAGCATCCCCATGTCACGTGATCAAAATTTGGGCGCTTGACAACTGGCATGTAATTATGATAGCTGCATTGTCCAAGGTCATGTGATCACCATTTGTAACCTTCCCAGCTAGCTTCTGACAAGCGAAGTCAATGGGGGAAGCCAGATTCATTTAACGACCACATGATGCACTTAATAGCTGCAGTTAACATGGCCCTCATTCATTAATGGCTGTCACCAATTGCTGCTGCTTTAAATTTACTCCAAGGACTCAAAATGCCACAATGGCATTTGTCATTTTGTCAGTGCAGATAGATCAATGTAGCTGTTGTCTAAGACAAAAAGAAACTCCATTTGTCTCAAGACATATATAGATGGTAACAGCTACATTGTTTAACTATATTTGCCCTATAGTAGAAATTGATATCTATTGGAATCTTTATGCTGAATGCACATCTAATAAATGTATTCTGATCCTGGTTCAGCAATACATTTTCTGCAAATATTTAGCATACTTAAGCATAAAGTCATGTGAGAACATACCTCCTTTGCTAAATCATAAGAGACCTGCAGAATCAAAGTCTGCATAGCATTTTATTACCTCCAGTTGTCAGCTAATGTCTTTCGAATGATGAAATAAATTTTTCTGTTAGTGTATGCATTTGACATACTATGATGTTCTATGCCAGAGTTCCCCAATGTTTCCAGCTATGTGGACCGGTGTGGGGGGGGGGAGAAGAGGGGATGGTTCTGTGCAAACAGCTGGCAAGCATGCGCATGAATGCAGCTTTATTTGCATGAATGGCGTGTATGCATGCCTGCTGCTCATGCAAATAGGGCACGCACACACATGCTCACCCACTGCTCGCACAAGTGAGGATGTGTGTGTGCTCGCCAACTGTTTCCAGGGCCCAGATGCAATCCCCACATGGTCCACTAGTGAGGACCCCTAAGTATGCCACTAACTCAAACCTATTCTAGAGGCCAGAGTACTTGGGTTTAAAGAAAAGCAGCGCAACAAGAAATATAAAACAACACAATACATATGAGAGAACAAATAGGCATGCATGTAGAATTAGTAATTAATTCCCATTAATTACTATTTAGAGTTAATACCATTTAAGAGTTCCAAAATATAAGCAACCAACTATGGCTCTCATATTTGTTAACATTTTCTTGTATTTTTTTAATCTTGTAAAACATTTGTTTTCTCGTATGTTTTATTATTTAATATTTTTATGTATTACCAATAGGAATATTTCCAATATTTCCAACTATTACACAGTTGTCAGAGTTTGTAAAAACAAGAGTGAATGAAGGATCATACAAATATATATTGGGAAGAACTGTATCATATTTTATACTTTTATTATAAAATTTCTAATAAACCAGGAACAAAAAGAAAATACAATTTTAGCTGTGCAGTGGATAAGACAATAGTGATAATACAAATATTTCCAAGTTTTACATAACTAATCTTCCTTTCTCAGTGGGGTCTAATGCTAGATACTGGTCTTAATTTAAATGAGATTTCCACTACTGGATTTTGAAAAAAAAGTACTTGTGTATTCTCTTGGTTCAATGTTTCTCAATTGGGACAACTTCCAAATCATAAAATATAAGAGTTAGAACAGATTTTGGACATTAGCTACTCTACTCATTCTCAATCTTGACAATCTCCAGGTGTGTACATTTTAAATTCTAGATTCTCAGCAATGGCCTTGCTGGCTGTGGAATTCTAGGAGCTGAAGTTTACACATCTGGAAGCTGCCATGATTGATAAACAATGCTCTGGTCTAGACGCCACCTATATGCCTGATCTGTTTTTCTCTTGAAGCCTATTGGTTAGAGTGCAATCGTATATGTAGCTACTAATGTCCCGCCAAAGTGGCTTTCTTCCATATATAGAATATTCCTTTTTATGTATTATGATTCTTATACTTTACAATTTTCTTTCTCTCTAAAAAATACTCCAAGTTAGGTTTCCATGGCTTTTTTTTACTCCAAGGCAACAGCACTATATAAATCAACATACTGATATTAAAGACAGCAATAATGCTAATATGCAACATCTATCTCTGTGATAATGATCAGACTATACATCTTGCCTGTATCTTTTATTCAGATCTGCTTAGGAACATACAAAGACAGATAACTCAGCAAAGTACCATAATTATATGTATTCAAAACATCAAGTTTTACAAAGAATACAGGAAGAGAATGCACATTGCACTGATCAAATTGTTGACATATAGCTACCTTGAAGTTTAAAATTCTCTTATCCAAACAAAGAACCATTGATTGCATACCAGTATTAACATAAGTTTTCCCCAAAATGTTCTTCTAAGCATAAAGGAAGATTTAACTGCAAAGTGTATGTTTCCACTAGTCTCCATGTATCTAGACAGAGGCAACATATTGCTGGTAGAGTGAAAAAATTGTGGATGGTATATTATACACAAAAAGTATTTTTTCTACTATGAAATATATGCTAGCGTGAAGTTAACTCCATGGGAGTTGTTATACTCACTAATACAACCAGCAACCTAAGATATATAGGGAAAGCTACAGCCCATTTATCTCAATTTTACCTTATATTTCAGTCAAGTACAGTTTTTAACATATAATAAGAGAAAGTGACATTTTCCCCAAGACATTCATTATACAGTGTGAAAATGACTGAATCTTTCCCAGTTTCATATTAAAGACTTTCTGTGCTTTGGATATAAATATTGAGTTAAGAGACTTCCACCACTTGCCACAGCTCTTCAAACAAAGGAGCCAGTTCTTTTTCCAGGCTTACAATCAGTCCTACACAAAGATAGGTAAAGAAGATGAGATATAAAGAATGAAGATGAGACAGAAATGAAAACAAGTATGGAAAGATTTAAATTCCATCTTAATCTATGGTTTTGGAAGGGCAGTCTTACATCTTACACTAGAGACTGGCTCAGAAATTCTGGAAGTTGAAGTCCACAGGTTGCAAAGGGTCCATAGTTGCCCACCCCTGCCCTAGATTTGTTCAGAGGCACTACTGAATCCAGAACTGGCACAAGTGGGAGTTACTTCACTTTCATAGTGTTAGGAAAAAGTTGTTTCTTCGGTGAGGAGCAGTATCATTGCTAGCACGACAGATAGTTCCCTTTGTATTGGAGGAAAATTGAAATATTGGTTCTGCCACCAAGAATAATCTCTGAAAGCTTTGGTATAAGGCTTTCTTTAGGTCTAGCTTTTACTCCTTACGACAGGAATGAATAATTTCAGACTTCTTTGCAAAAGAAGCTTAAAAAATGGGCACAGACCTTATCATTTAAATCTAAGTATTGAAATGCTGATTTCAATTTTGAAAATGTACCTGTATTGGCGTTGCTGCTGGCAATAAAACTCACTACCAAAGGAAGTTTATTGAACTGAATGACCTACAAGAAAAGAAATAAAACTTCAACATTCAATGTAAGTGTTTTGCTATGGTCAGTTTACACGTCTGGGTTGTGTATTGCAAGCTGGCAGATTAGCAATTAGCCATTCTCTATTCCCTCCTTTAAAATAATGGAAGTGCTAATAATATCTTTTGAATATATTCATAGGCACATACCTAGGTCACACCTAATCTAAAAACAGGTAGTCCTCGACTTACAACTGTTTGCTTAGTGACCATTTGAAGTTGCAAAGGTACTGAAAAAAGTGACTTATGAGCATTTTTCACACTTATGACTGCTGCAGCATCCCTACAGTTATGTGATTTACATTCGGATGCTCGACAACTGGTGATCCCCTTTTGCAACCTTCTGACAAGCAAAGTCAATGACAAACCAGATTCACCTAACAACCGTGTTGCTAATTTAATAGCTGCAGCAATTCACTTAACAAACGTGGCAATAAAGGTTATAAAATGGAACAAAACTCACTTATCAAATTTCTCACTTAGTGACATAAATTTTGGGCTCAACTGTGGTCATAGGTTGTGGACTATCTGTACATGAAACATCACAATACCCTATTTCAAAAGAACATTCTGGTTTCTCTTAACGTTGTATAAACCTTTTATATTGGCTGGGTATTGTGATAAGCTACATACCTGAACATACAGTACTTTGTTAAACTACTGAATCCAGGTTCACACAGCACACAAAACCACAAACCCAGGTTGACTTAAGCCCATAGTTACTTAGGTTCCCTCATCATGCCAATTAAACTCCAAACAGTGATAGATTTTGAACAGACTTTTCTGTGGCACCTGAACTGATTCAGTTCAAAACTTTTCTGCAGCATTTTTACATTTATTTACCTGCTGGCATTTCTCACTAACAAGCAACCTTGTTGCTAATTTCTTACCTGGTAAGTATTATAGTAACAGATTATGCTTTTGTTTTTGGAAAGCCCAAGTTTGCTGCCCTGATCTGTCGCAAGTGCAAATGTTGACAAGAAACCGGGTCGAAGAGCATGCTCAGGGGCATTGTCATTGGCAACTAGAAGAAGAAGGTATTTTGTAACTGTTCACAGAATAAGCAGAAATGCAAAGCATCATCTTCTTGGACAGCAGTATAAACTCCTGAGTCCTCAACATCCAAACAAGGTCTAACGAGTTTTAAAAGTAGTACTGGCTGTCAAAAAACATAGGTCAGTTTTCTCTAGCTTGGGCACCCTTTGGGTGTGGAGATTCAGCATGACCTATGAAAAATGGTCCATTCATTTGGAGAAAGTTTGGGAAACAGGATTGGCTCTTCCATGAATATTAATATGGTACACTATGACTGCAGTAATGAAGAGCAAGGAATACAGTAGCTCTTGCATCAGTATGTTTCAAAAACCGACCCACTGCAGTCCTTTCTGAAATGCTATTAATTAAAATCCTAAATATATAGTCAATTAGTACATTTTAAACTCACAAATCAAAAATAACTGGGAGATCTGACAAACCTCTTCCTTTTTTTAAGAAGAGCTTTAAGTATATTACCGTATATTCCGGCGTATAAGGCGACCCGGCATATAAGACGATCCCTGTCTTCGGCCCTGAGTTGCATGCCTAGAAAGTCGTCTTATACGCTGGAAACTACCGTAATTTCCGGCGTATAAGACGACTCGGCGTATAAGACAACCCCCGACTTCGGCGACGAATTTACCACTTGCGAAAGTCATCTTATACGCCGGAAAGTACGGTAGTTTAATCTCAGCACAGCTTTTAGTTTGAGTTGTTTTCACTCATCGCTCGTAGAACATTGTCACTCAAACTCAAAACACCCACAAAAAAGCTGGCATATGATTTCCTCAAAGTCACAGTTTCCATAAGTCACATTAAGGAAGTGCGTCATGGCTGATGAACTGGCATTATGCTTCCAGCTGACCAACAACTATGCTAAAGGCCAACAAGAATGAAGTAACAAAATTATGAGTAATGCAGATGCGTGCCTCCTAGCTCAGACTGAACAATTTCAGTTTGGAATCAGGCTAAAGCAGCATATTAAAACTTAGGTGTAAGAAGGATGAAACATCTTCCTTTTGTCATCTCAGTTGGGTTGTAAGGTTGTTCTTCAGCAGACAGTTCAATACCAAGCATGCAGTAATCAATTTGCAAAGGGACAATTCAGCAATTTATCTATCTTTGATTATTCCTTACCCTTAATTACTGGTACACCATCTCTGTCTGACACTACAATAGCATGAAGTCCTTCAACACTAAAACAAATAAAAGGAGATTGCTTAGTCATCTGTCTAGAAAGACGGCAAGCCATTTGAGTTTGCTGCCTCCTTGCTTTTACTTTTAATTAGTTAATAAACATAGCAATTTAAAACTTGTTAATAAGTTTATAAAATAATTTGACTTTGTAAACATAATTTTGGGTTCCTTATAGTGTAGCTTAAAGCGATTCCGCATTTTATTATCACAAAAATTAACCTGGAGGTAGATTAGGTCGAGAGTGTGTGACTGGTAAATCTCATCCAATTAGATTTTTGGGTATTTGAAAACTCGAATCTTATTTTCCTGGTCGCAGTACAATATCTGAATCTCTTGAGATGAGCTCATGTCAAATAATTTCTGATAATCACAGTTTTCTCAACAGTAAGCATAATTTTGTAAACATTATTTGATGATTTTTATTCCTAAAAGTGGTCTGAAGGCGCTCGCTTATTGTAGATGTAACTCTGAAGCTAAACAGATTTTAGGTCTTCCAGATAGGCTTTGAAACCCATGAATTCTAATCAAAACACAAGGGAGGAAAAGATGATTGAAATAGACTGTGTTCATTCTTGTTTAATATTATCAGCACTTTTGAGGCCATATAATATTTGCACATTAGGTTTACTAAACAGTTGCTGGCAACCAAAGAATTCCATACAGGTAGTCCTTGACTTGCAACCACAACTGGGAGCAGAATTTCCATTGCTAAGCAAGATGGTTATTAAGGGAGTTGCACCCTATTTTACAACCTTTTTTGCAACAGTTGTTAAGTAATCACTGCAGCTGTTAAGCAAATCTGGCTTCTTCCCCCATCGAATTTGCTTTTTGGAAACTGGCTGGGAAGGTCGCAAAGGGTGACCTGGGATGCTGCAACCGTCATATATACATGCCAGATGCCAAGTGCCCAAACTTCGATCATGTGACTCTGGAGACACTGCGATGATTGTACATGTGAGGAACGGCTATGCTGTGGTCCCTTTGAATGGTCCCTAAATGAATGGTTGTACGTTTAGGACTACCTGTATTTTGTGACCATATAAAGTTGTGTTTATACTGAGGCAAGTGCATTGTTTGACCTTGCACACCACTGTTAACACTGACTTCCAGGGTTTCAGTTTAGAGGTTTTTCTATCCCTACATAGAAAAACAAGAATGGAGCCTGGGAATGTTTGCAAGCATGGCATGTACTTTTTCACAAATTACAGCTCTCAACAAGCAGGAAAAAAAATCTCCACTATGAAATGGGGGATCTGTATTTCTGCTCTTATTCTCTTTTTATACTATGCATTCTCGTTCTACATCAGCAAGGGCTGTAACAGAAAGGGATGGGATAGCAAAACAAAAAACAAAAAAAACCTCCTCATATATATCGAGCCCATCAGATTGCAGTTTGTAATTTGGGGCTGTCAAAAAACAGAAATCTTAAGCTTTCAAAGTAGCCATTACCATTCTTCCCTTTCCAGCACAAACACCCCAAATTTGCAATTCAAAAAGTAATTCAAAATCCTCTTGAGAGATAGATACTTCTTATGCTATTTATTTCAGCTGGGACTAGCCTAAGTCTTTGGCTTTATCAGGGATTGCCTTGAAGCAATTACATATTTGACCAAAGGATTAGAAGGAGCAGCCAGAGGGACCTTCATCTAGATACTTCACACTAGAGGACTCATTGGTAAAACTAATGTCATCCTGCAATAACATTCAAGTGAAAGTTAACATCAGAAAAGAATGAAAAAAAATTGCAAGACTATTAGAGATTTTTGAAATTACTCAAGAGTATTTTTACATGTTTATATGGTATAAAAAATAATAAGTATTTTACCTTGGTAGTTTTTTATACAGGAATCTTTTCAAATCCTAGGGTGAAACAAAGTAAGCAGGGCTTTTTAGCCACTTATATTACTTATAAAAAGATCATACTCCATGCTTTGTTGTCATTAGAAAGGATGATATTCCTTTAGGAATTGGCAGTAATTCCTAAATACTGCCAGGATCATAAGCTTAATAACTATAGGCAAAGAAATAAACAGTATTCAACCTTCTCAATCCCAACTTCTTGGCCACATTTTTTAATGCATTTGTACTATTCAGCTGCCATATGGGTTTATTGTTCTTTGTAGCTGAACCAATTACTAATGAAATATAGGTTATAGACTAGATTAGAATAAGCTAAATAAATATTCCATAAGCATTAGTAGAAATTTTTCAATATGTAACTTCTTACAAAACACTTTCCAATCATTAAAAAGACATTTCATACTTACATCTGCCATGATACTCAAAAAATTATGAATTGCCAGTCCACTGAAAAGCCAAAATGATATATTTTTAGAAAAGATAATCTGTTCGCCTTTAAAGTGGTATCAGATTCTTTGCTATTTCTATAGCAAACAAAACATAGCTATTGGCACTGGTGATGTTACCTAGTTTGGTTAATGAAATGTCTGCAAGAAAACAAGCAAGCTCAGAGAGAACCAAGGACCCCACATAACTACTGGGGCTACACAATGATCTGGATTCAAAGATAAAAAATGATTTGGGTTTGGGAGGTTAGATGGCCCACTCAGATGCTTTTTTTATTGTTTTGCCTGAGTTTACCTTGGTCAGCCTTGTAGACAATTACCCTTTGTTAATTTTTTCATTGTTTTTAATATGTTGTTAGTCATGTTAACTTATAAAAGTGTATGGGCATGCATGTCATAATTGTTAATACTACCTTAATTCAAACATACTTTTTCTGAGATCTATTGTACAAGCTCATGTGGAGGTATAATAAAATTAGATATACATACCCATATATTTAAGTATGATTCTTTATGCAGTTAATAGACATGATTATATTTGTATAACTTAGTGCCCATACTTGATTCCAGGCTGGAATCAGTTAAAATAAACTAGGCAATTGTCTTTCTAGGCAGGGCAAATTGAATGATGTAAAAGGAGACTACGACATAAAAATGTTTTTTATTGTACATGTCAATATCCTGAGGGCTACTACAGGTATGCAGTTTAACAGGGGAGTCAATTTAATGGCTTATCAATTTCAGAAGAAGTGTTGCAGTGTAATTGTATTTGTTCTTTTATCTTTCTGTTTCAAGTGTATTTGGCCAAATATATATAATCTATAAATGTAGAAGTGTTGCACTTAGGTCCTCTCTCCTTCTGCACAATCTATTTCCAGATTCTACTTCTGTTCCATCTCCCTGTAAGCACATTTCATCTTCAAATGCTTTGGCTTCTAATCTGAGTGGGTGATTTTTTTCACAACATTCAGGAAAATATGAATTGTCAACAGTCCAACTTATTTTTTCCCTTTGAATTTGGAGTTCTATACAGCCCTGACATCTATTTCTCTAGAAAATACTAGGAAAAGTTGCACTGAGTCAATCTGTGCTTCTCAAATTTGGTATCAATTACTTTAACCAGAGCATAGTACCTTTTACCTCTTAGGTTGAAAGTTTTGCTTTCTTAGGCTTCAATATATATAAATGAATCGAAGGCTGGAAAAGAAAGGATAATCCCTACAGATAATGGCAAACATCAATCCAATTATGAAACACAGAGAAACTTCAGTGACCACGTCCACAAGGATCACTTCAGTGATCATGCCAAAGGAATAACCTTTCCAGTGGTAATGCACAGCTGTGAAAAAATATTTTTGAATTCTGGATTTGGAAAAGTCAAACATATTGTGAATTAAAAGACCAGTTAATTTTGAAATAAAGAATGACTGCCTGTGTGGTATGACTTGGCTAATTGTCTCTGGCCTCTACATGGAATTTTTGCAAAAAAGATCTAGAAGTGATATCTGGGCTCAGAAAAAGATCAATGTTAGGCCTGGTTAGTATTTGGATGAGAGACCAACAGGTAATCCCAGATTTGCCCATTGCCTGACAAGTAGAAAAGATACCAAAAAGCAATCCCAATAAGTTCATTATCATTGCAAAGTAAATTGCATGGCTATAGGGGGAAGAAAAGGAAAGTAAAAGGCAACAAATAAAGTGGAAGCACAGAATGAGAGACCATCAGGATATCTTCGGAAGAGCAACGAGCTCTCAGGGGCGATGAAGAGGCCGGGCATTTGCCGGGTCCGATCCCGGAGCCCCTAACTACTCTTGTCCTCCCGGGAAAGCCGGAAAACGGGACAGAAAGTTCTAATCCCACCCAAAACTGGGGAGCAAAAGGAGTGCTAATAACAAAATTAAACACGTGAGAAGGCCAACTCGCCCCGCAGCCTTCCCCGGGGATTCATAATAACGGCAACGACTCCCCCCATCCAAACCTCCCCTCTCTTCCGGGATTGAACTCTTTAACCGACCGACCTTAGATTGCGTCCGAATCGTTTTCCGGTCCCTGCGTCACGTGACTCTTGACGACTCTCGTCTCTCACGTGACCCCTCCCGGCCGGTCAGGCGCCCCTGACGTTCCTAGAGATACTAAAAAGAGGAGAAGACTGTTTCCGTCTCTCACGTGACTTCCTCAGAGCCTATCGGCAGCCTCGGACGTTGCTAGAGATACTAAAAAAAGGGACGGAGCCTAACAGGAGTTGGAGAGGGTTGCGGGGATGATGGAAACAACCAAAAAAGATTAACTTGTGAGCAATCCACGTACCTGGGTACGTGTAGAATAGTTTCGTTTGACCTGCCCATGTTACGATGTGTCGTCACGATGTCAAAAAGATGTTGAGGCTCTAGAAAAAGTGCAGGGAAGAGCAATAAAGAGGTTCAGGGGACTGGAGGCTAAAACATATATAAAACGGTTTCTGGAATTGGATATTAATGAAGAGAAGGACCAGGGGGTGACATAATGGCAGTGTTCCAATATCTCAGGGGTTGCCACAAAGAAGAGGGAGTCAAGCTATTCAAGGCACCTGAAGGCAGGACAAGAAGCAACGGATGAAAACTAATCAAAGAGAGAAGCAACCTAAAACTGAGGAGAAATTTCCTGACAGTTAGAACAATTAATCAGTTGAACAACCTGACTCCAGAAGTTGTGGATGCTCCAGCACTGGAAGTTTTATACCACCAAAATGGTATAAGGTTTCCTGCCTGAGCAGGGGAGGAAGACCTCCAAGATCCCATCCAACTCTTGTTATTCTGTTAGGTGTGAACTTCAACTCCGGGAACAAAGGATAAGATGTAACTGTCTAATAAGGGGGATTTTAGACAAAACAACCAAACCTTTCAGTGGGTCATCTATCTTCCCAGCTCCCAAGTTAGTTTTCATTCCATTCTAAGTAGCATTAGGGTTTTAGACATTTTAAGACAGCATGATGGGCAGAAATGCTATTGGTAGCTCAAAGTTTGGAGGAATATTTTTCCTAATCCATTTTTTTCTCCACACTTGGACCTAAGTAATTTTTTAAACTTGTGTTGAAGGAAAAATTTTGAAGGAAAAAATCAGGGTCCAGTCCAAGCTGGGAATAAACAAACATGGAGACTGCTTTAGAAAAAAGCGGACCTGATTTCTGTTTGAGGCAGATAGACTTGGGAGGGGGGAGTTGGTTTCTGCCTTTAAAATCCTTTGGGGAAATATATTCTGCCTTTGGGGAAAATATGTTCTGCCTTTTTAATATTTTCCAAAAGATTTCTTTCTCTGGATTCTTCCCACACTTGGAACCCTGTTTTGTGAGAAACAGAGCTTTCTCCACTATAATGAATTGCATAGATATTCAATAAAGAGTTAAAAAGAAGCAAAAATTTGCAAAAGCGATCTAAAATTGTGGAAAAAAAGGAAGCCAGTATTTTGTAATTTAAGATGTATCAGAAGAGACCAGGACTCCATTACAAAATGAGCCAAAGGCTTCTAAATAGGACAGGCTGCTTGAAAGCATTTTGCTATGAAGAGAATCCTTTCTCCACGTAATTATATTGAATATAGATGAAAACTGGAAGATAAAGAATTACATCTCTATAGTCTGACTGTTTTTCACTCATTTTTGCTTTATGAGCACTGTTCCAGGTTCAGTTCCAAATTTTTTATTTGCTGGAAACAGAAATGATCCTACTGGATCATCCTACTGTTTTCTGTTGGCTCTTTCTATTCACTTCTTGCTACCTATAGGTCTAGAAAAAGCCAAAGCCAACATTTACAAAAACCTTTGCCATTGTGTGTTAGACTTGAGCACTATAGGCAACTTACGAGGATGCGTTCCTTCATGAAAATGTTTTCAACCTGCAAACTATCTGTTCAATCTGGTTTGTTCAACACACTGTAGAGCCTTCTTTTTGCCAACTTTAATGTTCTACCTTTGATAGTACTAGACGGGAGTTTCATAAAATTTAATAAAAACTGTAGACCAGAATGAACCTGAGACCTTAGTCCAGTGGTGGCGAACCTATGGTACGTGTGCCAGAGGCGGCACTCGGAGCCCTCTCTGTGGGCACGCATGCCTTTGCCCCAGCAGAGTTTGCCAGAGTAACGAGCACATGGCGTTTGGAAATGACAGGGCAGGAAGGGAGTGAGCAAGCAACGTTGGCCCCCTGGGGATACCACGCTTACCCAATCTGTGACCACTGCAGCCACGCCCTCCCAGTGAGCCATGCCCCCCCACTCCCCCGAGGGCACCACAATACTGATGCAGCCCTGGCACTTTGCAATAAATAAGTGGGTTTTGGGTTGCAGTTTGGTCTCTAAAAGTTCACCGTCACTGCCTTAGTCCATGTATTTCTTCACTCCCCTTCTTTAATAACTTACTTGGTGGTATACCTTTACTACCTATTAGAGATTAAGCTTTCAATGAAGGAGAGATGGTTTGTTGTCTACTTTCAGGCTAGAAACCTTCCATTATAAACAGAGTTGCCAAATTAACAACTATTGCTATATGAAGTCTAATTCTGTCATGCAAAAAGTCCTTTTATTCTTTTATTCAAATTTTACTGTTTTCCTTTGTTATATTTTGTTCTTTGTCCTCTGCAGCCCAATTAAGGCTGCAGAACTATATTCACACTGAATTTTTCAAAAGGCCAGAGTGGGGGCCTGCCTCACCTGGGGAGGGAGTTGTAGAATAGGGGCAATGGCAAAGAAGGCTCTCTTCCTGGATCTCTTTGGCAGGTCTATATAATCTGTATGTGCTTGCTGCTAGCTAGTGTAATCATTTTTCTCTTCTTCCTTTTAACTTTCTTAAGGTTGGGAGAATCTTTGGAGTATAACTGAAAACCAAGACTAGTAGCTGCACAGGTGGAGAAAAGCACAACAGATATTCTGTTGATCAAGTTTTCTTCTCTAAATGCAAGAAACTGTTTTTATAGTATAGGACTAACTCAGATATAAACTGAAAATACTTTAAAAACATATGATTTCTTTAATCACATAAGATAAAAGGAATCTGATTAGACCACACCTGGAATACTGCAACCAATTTTGGCCACCATACTACAAAAAAGATATTGAGACCTTGGAAAAAGTTCAGAGAAGAGCAACTAAAATGATCAGACGCCTGGAGACTAAAACATACGAAGATTGGCTGCAGGACTTGGGTTTGGCTAGTCCAAAGAAAAGAAGAAACAGGGAATGATAGCAGTATTCCAGTATTTGAGAGGCTGCCACAAAGAAGAGGGCGTCAAACTATTCTCCAAAGCACCAGAGGGCAAGACAAGAAACAATGGCTGAAAACTGGCCAAAGAGAGAAGCAACCTGGAATTAAGGAGAAACTTCTTGACAGTGAGGACAATTAACCAGTGGAACAGCTTGCCTTCAGAAATTGTGGGCACTCCATCACTGGAGATTTTTAAGAAGAGACTAGACAGTCAATTGTCTGAAATGGTATAGGTTCTCCTGCTTGAGCAGGGGGCTGGACTAGAAGGCCTCCAAAGTCCCTTCCAGCTCTATTCTATTCTTCTAGAAGAACAAGACTTGTTTGCCCAACAGGTTAAACTATATTTGACAAACACGCTCATGTATTGACATAGTATGCCAAAACAAACCACATTAACTTGATGGTTTAACTTAAGACTTAACTGTTTTGGTTTAACCATTATGAATTGTAAATTCTGATTTAGGATTTAAGAGAACTTTACAAACACTGTCTCTGTGCTGTTGCTTCCATGTAATGTGCTGGTATCTGAATGTATTCGGGCGAATAATTAGATACAGTCTATTCACACTGAAAATAGTTTTATTTTGATATAAGTCAGATATTAGGTACATTACAAATTAAAATTTTGTTTATTCCTAACCATAAATGTACAGATAAATAAAATAAGATCTCTTTTGTAAGATGCCATTCTAAATTTTAAAGGATTTTTGTTACTGGGCATCTTTGATAGATTTTTAAAGCTTAATTTTAAACATTATCAGGTCTTCCAAGAATTAACACTGAAGTCCATTTAGATTTTTAAAGCAGACAGAACAGGTCAAGCAAATTCTAAATGTATTTACTTGACAATAAATTTATACTCGCGGAGCCCCCGCCAACTGAAACTTGCATATTTAATCAAGTTTTATAAAAACTTATGAGCAAACTGTAGTTGTTATCAGATTGCTTTGTGAAAGATTAGCAAACAGTTAAGAAATGTCTGTTGGTAAGACATCTCTATTATTTAACTTTATTCAAATGGAAAATATGTATAGTTTTTAGAAAAAAGCAAATCCACACAGGTTTTAATTAACAGATTCTGTAAGAACTAGAGGGTAAAATCTTAATTTTCATGAGCAGAGGTTTGCTCCTACAACCAAACTTTTTTCTTCCTCTGTGCTACATGAATATCTCCCCCAGGAAATTTGTCTAGAACAGATTTTGACAGAAATTTCGGAAAAAAGAATGGACTTGTTCTTAGTTCTGATTGTATATCATCCAGTATGTCCTCCCATATAGAGACGTACAGACATTTGAACATATCTGAAGAACCTGAACTAGCACTAAAATTGGCTAATTACATGATATGAAGCCATAGATAGAAGCTCTTATTGCAAACTATCATTATGAGCATCGCTAATATTTACTGATGAATTTGCACACAACCTTTGCAGTGAGCAACCCACCATTAAGGCAGTTTCTGTTTTTTAATTTTCTATTTGCAAGTGATCAACAAATTTTGCTCATGTCTCCTTATATGCATTATGTGGAAGCAAAGACATAAGCCAAGACAGTCTCATTGCAGTGAAGGTTCAGACCTCACCTCTCAACTAATGTATCCCAATTGAAAGTGGGCAAGATTATCAAGGAAAGAAAAGGAATGGCAATTTCCAGGCATTTTTTCTTGTTATGACATCCAAATCCCTACTACTTGTGCTACTCTCTGGACATATTTAGTCATACAATATTATACAATCACAAGTTAGAGGTATGATGCTAGGAAATACAGCAATACACAGATGCATACATAGTCATTTATAAGAGCAGCAGTTCCCAAACCAAAAGACTTTGGTGCAGTGAAAAGAAAACACATAAGCTAACAAAAATAAATAAATATAAATATGCAACCTTAACATAATCCTTAATGTAAGGCATATAATTTTTAAATCAAAATTGTAACAAAGCTGGCATATTATCTAGAGGCATGCCGTTATTTTGCAAATCAGAAAAGCTGTTGTAATATTAATATTACATAGGCTATAGATAATCTGAATCTTTGGGGCCCTAATTTATTAGGCACTTTTGTAGAGCAACCTGTATTAATTTCCATGGGGCTGATTTGGAAAAGCCCATCCAGAAACCTCAGCAGTTGATTTGTGTTCACAAAAAGCAATCATCCATGTTTTAGAATATGCTTAAACTTTCATGTAAGGTTGCTATTAATAGAATTTTTATTCTTGAAAATAATTCTTGTACTGCAAGATCTGCCTATTAGATATGATTTTCCCTCAATTGCTCCATTTACTTTGATGGATTGTTTCTTGCCATATTAGAAGAGAGCTTTTGATATTTGTTTTAAATTATTTTTAATAAGAAAGTTTTGTATTTTTTAACAGAGGAAGCCTATTTGGGCTTTGTTAAGAATTATGGCTCATTAAATCATAACCACATTGTCTGGTGTAGTTATACCTAATGCCTTGAAAACTGGAAACTGTTGTATACTGCACTGTTTAAAGCAGTGAAACAGAGATTGTAATGTATCCAACTGACATTCTAAAGAAAGAAAAAAGAGCTTGCAATTTTTTTTTTAATATATCAAAGCAACTTAAAAGAAGCCAGTAACCCTTCCACTCATGAAACATTTAGGCCAAAGGAATTAAAAATGTCTTAACCAAGTGTCCCAAACTTAAGTAACCTGTAGTACGGAAAACAGAACTGGACAAATTTATAAGAGAACTATAAACATATCTTCCAACTTTTTGTTCATTCAAAAGAAGCTTCATCTTTGGTTGGAATAGCTGTGATGGTGAAAGACTTTTTAAAATTATTTTTCCTTTGTTGTTTAACTAAACCACTTTTTTTTCTTCCAAAACTTAAAAACATGATTTGGTAATAAAACGAGTAGATTGAGATTCGGGTGTTCATGGAAATGATTTAACACTTCTGTACCTGGCAAAATTCTGTCATCAAATTTATAGCCCTTGTGGCTATTTTCAACTAAAAATAAAAAGTGCAAAGCGATCAGGTTATAGTCCAATTAAATTGGAGTGTGAAAGAACAGACTTTCTTAATAATGAAGATAAAACTTTTAGTAAAATGTCATTATAAATCCTGGTTAAAATTATAGTTGAAAGCTATGTTTAAAGTGAAATACTGTCCATGTTTTCCATCATTACTAATACTATTTAATATGCTTTCCACTTATTAATCCTAGAGGAAAATACTTCTAGGAGAATAAATGTTCTTGAAAGTTGAAGCTTAATTATATACCAATTTCATATAAAGCAAATATTATCCCAATTCTAGAAACCTAAAGGAAGGTATGATGCAAATAATCAACATAATTTTCTATATCCTTATTCCTAACCAGAGGGATAAATACAATTCATAAGTATAAACATTCTAGTATATTGTTTGCATATAAACTAATAGGGCTAATTAGTCTGTTATGAACTAGTAGTTCACCCTTGGAGATCCAAAACTCACATATTATTTGAGAAAAAGTTCCACTAATTTCACCAAGTTTTACTTGGGCTTTGGATTAAGAGACACAATTTGAACAAGCAGGCTTTCTACTACTCTTACTAGCAATTTCCCAAACACCTGCTCTTAAGAGATTAAGATGAAGTATATTATGAGGTGCAGCAGGTGAGGAGAATCAATATAAAGAGGAGTGTCACTTTAAAATACAACTTCCTAGAGAAAATGCACCTTTAGATCTAAGCCCATGGATTCACTATGGAAATGTTAAATGAAAATCTTGAAAATCAACTACCAAATGAAAGTTACCAAGTATTTTTGATGACCATAGAAGTTTCTTTTATCTTCATTCAGCTTACCTACTGGTTAAACTTCAGGTTTTGAAAGCTTTCTTATCCCTCCATTCCCCCTCCCCCCAAGTTTGAGCTTCAGTTTATCCCAGTTCAGGCTCTGATTGCTTGGCCAGAGACTTATACAAATGTAAAATGCTCCTAGAGCACCCTCTGACATTCTCAATAGCTGTGTATGCGCGTTATTGGCCAACTAAGGTCTCAATCATAAATCTCTGTGCAGAATCTGTTAAATTCCTGTATCATGAATGCATTTAACTTTGGATTACTTGATTTGTCCAAGTTTGCTTAATGATTTTTGAGCATGCTATTGCACAAATTTATCACACAACATTTAATTAGGCTTCTGTGCTGTTCCAATATCAGTGAAATTCAAATAAAAATAATCATGTGTGGATGTTATAAAACTATCTACTTTTGCAATCATTAATTTACAGAAAACATAGAATTCATAATAACATATTTACTTGGAATTAAATGATCATTTATGAGATGTTGGGATACCTAAATTGATTTTAGAACCAAATTACAAAATTTTGAATATTCAAATTTTAAAAATTTGATTTACCATTACTTTATTTTGCTATTTCTATCCTTTATCATTTCTTCCTATAAGGAAGGGTCAGAGACCAACGCTGGTGCGTTCGTATAGAACTTAAAATGATAATGGTACCTGTAATTTCAGCATAAGATTAAAAAAATAATTCTGCAACTCTATGAAGCCTGAGTGATCTTCAAAATAAATCAAATTCATTAATGAAATAGATAACTAAAATTACAGGGAATCTGTATTGTTTATTCCTCTATAAAACTGAAGACATAACTAAAATAGTTTGACAGAATCTTATATATACTATTTGTTCAACAATTTGATTGCAGATGAGGGAAAATAGATTACAGTAGGCTTGCTTTTTTCAGTGAAGCTCATAACTGAATTTCATTTTGAAATTAATTCAGAACAACAAAGAAACTTGCTAACTAAAAATGCTATGATGGGAATGTTCCCAGAACGTTTTTTTAAATCCAAAACTCATTTTACATTTTTCTCTTTTTACAAAAAACGTTGAAGTACTATTAAAATAGTTCTGAAATAATGTGGCTTTATAATTATCTGTTTAAAAGAAAAGCCCTTCACATATTGGTTGGGCTTTTGTTCCATAGCAATAATGAAACTGTTCGTGTGACCTTATGAGTCAAGACTAAGCAATTTAAACGCCACCTATGACAAATTACAAGTTTTCAAAACTAAACTTTATATGCAACAGATCACAATGCAAGTTGTTTCAATGAAATTATTCTGAAGTACCATCTTTCAATTAAAAATGGCATCTTTATATTACAATGATCTGCTGATTCATTTGAAAGCTACTTTCTAATCTTTCCCACATTGGCTGCCCTTAGAACAAAGTATACAAATTAATAAAAATAAATATTTTTCCATATTAATTATATGGTAGCTTATAAACATACAAATTCATTTCTGAAATTCCAAGTCTTGTCTTTAATTCTTGCAAAATCACATTAAATTTAAACTGGCAAAAGTGATTATATAAGCAATATTTCATATATGATCTTTAGAAGCAGATCACTTTTATCATTAGTTCTACCCTTCATATACATATGGCCTGAAGAAGATATATTATGATTTTAACTCACATCCTTGAACAAGACCATGGCTTCTATTAGTATTGATAATAATTCAGAAATAAGGTGAACCAAGTAACCACAAAACAAAGGCACAAGGCTGAACTTTAAGAATAACTTTCTTAACCAACTTCTGATAGCAAAACAGGACCTGGAGCTGGTTAAAAACACTCCAAAATTATTGAATGATTATTTTTAAAAAAATAAAAATCAAACTGAGGAGTTTGAAAAGCAGCTTTTGCTTAACTGATTTCTTTTGGAACACCAAAATATTCTGCTATTAGGAACTCATGTACATTCAATATACAACATTTCTCTTTTCCAGCATAGATCTTAATTTTGTTAACGAGGAGAAAATAAATGAAAAAAGAAACCTAAAACCTCTATTTCTTTAGTTCCATATACCTGACATCTGAATAAGTAATAATGTAGTCATATTATGTATTCCACCTATTAAAACTTTTAATATTCTAAATGCCTTCAGATGTCCATAAACATTTTATATACATATAAGTAATTGTCTCACATATATTTACATGCCAAGTATAATAAGAGAACCACTACTTCTACGTCTCTAGTGGAGCAGCTTGTCCAAAATGTTTTCTTTCTTGTGGAAAAGTTCACAGAGGTTTTGGGAGTAAAATATAAAGAACAATTCAATGATGTAAACCATCTTTGTCCTTTATTTCAGACTACATAAAGAGGCTATTAAATAATATTGAAACTTTAGGGTAAGGTTTTTGGAAATAGCTACAGAGTGAATTTTTTACATCTCTCCTTTTCACTTGTCATGATGAAATAGTATTTTTCTTAGAAAGCATGTACGTCAAGCAATATAGGTCAAAAATTTAGCTCATCCTCCTCGATAGATGCTGGTTAATCGTTCTAGCTCTTTGCAGTTGTCCATGGAAATAGCTTCTGCTTTCTTTCGTAGGCGATCATCCCGATATACTTTTGCTGCATAGAGTAAATCGGTTTCTTTAAAAATAAATGGAAAAAATATGTCAGAAAACCAAATTTAAACAGACCCCCCCCCCAGTCTAGGTTCTTCCACATATTACCAAGTAACAAAACTAAGATGATTTTTATCCAAAGGGTCTATTCTGCTTCATAATCTATTCACTTTTACATGCAAACTATTTGTATATCTGTTTTCATTAAAAATAGAAATGAAGAAAGGAAACATTATCATTCCATTAAATATAGTTTGTACAGATCTGACAGAGAAAAAGATGCCCATCCAAATTATGGAGAATGGAAATGTTGCTTTGACCTTAACCTTCTACGTATTGCTTTACAAATATTTTTACAAATTTGCTACTAAGATACAAATTTACATATGGATTTCTGCATATCTATCAGAATCAGTTATTCAACTGAATACAGAAACTACCCATTTGCTTGAGCTGAACTTCAGTTTATATCTCCATTGAGTCAAGTGAATTAACTATAAAAGAGAATTACTATAGGTGTTTTCTGAAACTTCTGGTTGACCTTATACAATAATTTTATGTAATTATTAAAATGTGCATTTTAAAAAGTAAGATAGAATTCTGCAAAAAAGGATAAATAAATGCAGAGAAATCAGTAGAAATTCAAGTCTACTTTCTGAACCATTGATGAATATAAAAGATACCCTCAACTGTACAGCACCAAAATATTAACAAGGTTATAGCCTCCTAATTTCTTGCCTAGCAAATAACAACTCACATAGTGATTAAACTTATAACTGAAAGGTACCCAAAAAACCAATTTTATTTAACCACGCTTGAAAGTGGCTTATAAACCACTTGCTTATGCTATCAGTTATTGCTATTGATAATTGGTATTACTACTGGAATCAAGTTCAAATGTTTCATTGGGAATTGCTGCAGAATCGTGCATCCTAAGCAGCATGGGACCATGCTTGTTTTCTCTTCATTAGAAACATATGTCTTGTGCATACTTCCCTGTCTTTACCTGGGGAGTATATGAAGAGAGGAAATAGAATTGCCAAATCAAAAATGGTTAGTAAGGCTTGGCTAAGCATCTTGACTATAATTTTCAATCTAGAAGAAAAATGTCATTCATCAAACTCCTACCAAATGGGATTCTGTACAAATCCTTTTCTTCATCAGCATTCACTATGTTGTCTGAATGATGACAAATGCTAGTAAAAAATAGCACTGAACTCTTACAATTACCAAAATGTTAAAAGCTATGCTGCTCGGAAGAAGTTTATAGAATGACTGCAAGGATGCAATAGCAGCAAGGAAAAATGCTTCTTGGCCACCAACACTGCTATGTTACAATGCTTTAGAGCAGTGGTTCTCAACGTTTGTGTGATGGCGACCCCCGTCACACAAACGTTCCGCGCATGCGCGGCACTGCGCGCATGGGGCCGCTGTCCCATGCGCGGCGCGCATGCACGCTCCGCCCCATGCGCGGCGCGCATGCACGCACCACCCCATGCGTGGCGCGCATGTACACATCACCTCCATGCGCAGCACGCATTGCCCCCATGCGCAGCACGCATGTGTGGCGCCGCCCCCATGCGAGGCGCGCATGTGTGGCGCCGCCCCCTGAGGGGAGAAAATGGCGGATCGCCTTCTTTGGCGACCCCCGAAAAATGGTTGATCAACCCCAAATGGGGTCGCGACCCATAGGTTGAGAACCGCTGCTTTAGAGGAACTGCTAGTTTACATGATTGTTTACATGACCTTCTCAAAAGCTTTTAACTCCATTTGCATTCTAGTACTTTCAAAGAACCAAATTAAAAAAATTAACAGAAAGCAGTTCTACAATAAATTAGTTTAATAATATACATAAGAACTATCAATAGTGGTTCAACGTTATTATCCTCATACCATATTTGAAAAAAGGCGGGGAGGGCAAACCAAGAGAATCACGAAGGGATGGTGACTGAGGTAAAATAGAATTGGAAATTTTGTAACTGATACATGGAATTTATATAACTTCTAGTTTTATATAAAATACCAAAAAGTAGTGCTGGAAGAATTCTGCTGTTGTAATCTCTGAGAATTCTGGATAATTTGAAGGGATGTTCCCCTCCAGCATTGCTCACGGAATTTGCCAATAACTCTAGCTATGTTTGAGAAAGTGTTTAATGTCAGCTGTAAAACTTACTTTGTTGTCTTTCTTTCCAACAGTTATTTCGAATATTTGAGACATAGTCTTCTTCCACACTCTTTTCCACCTTTTGCAAATTTGGACCTTTGTATTCATTTTTAAAGTCCTTGTTGACATAATAAACCACACCCAGATTTTCTGTCTGCATCTGGATTGTCTGCCCTGAACTCCTGTAAAAAGATTTCCATATCAATTGTCAGCATGGGTGAATACTTCAAAGTATCTATAATGTATGTTATTCATTTACTGTTTAATTTCCAAGCAAATAATTATTGTTGCAAATCCAGAAATCCACTAATATTGCCTTATTCACTGCCTCAATAATTATGAAGCCAGAGGCACGATCTCAGCATGCAACTGGAATCTAGCTTTTAATATGGCAACATTTGCCAATTACTGTTATGTATCATTACATTAATCAAGTAGTACACACTTGGCTATCAAAAATACGAAATATGAAAACCATTTGTTTAAAACGATTCAACTAAAGTTGATTATTTCTCACAATTTTTTTCCATCCCCCGGAATTCCAATTCCAAAAATCAAAACATTTGATTTTAACACAAGAGTGGCATGTAACCTTGGAGGTATGATTGGTGGCTTGAAGATGCTCCTTCACCTTTTAAACTTGGTTTTGCTTTTTTTAATCATGTTTTTTCATGTGAGTTTTATAGCTTTTATCTATAAACTACCCAGAGTCACCTAGCTAGTAAAATTGATAAACAAAATAAAACAAAACCATAGAATGTCTTCTGTAACTTTTCCTCTCATGCTCAAGACATTTATTTAGGTACATTATCTACCAATACCATGCATAGAGTACTACCGAGTAGACCTGGATTTTTAATTAGTCGTATCAGATTTTTAGATCAATATCTACAGAAATGTACAAAAGGAAAAGATTGCATTTCTCCTTATTACAAAATAGCGTTATTACACTGATTTGATGCATATAAGAGAAAAAAAAAGTTGCTATAAACAAGACCAAACAATGTAGAATCAACAGAATGATTTTTAAATAGCAATTTTACAGAAAATTTGCTCTTTTGCAAAACATGAACAAAGAGTCTTGTGTACTTTTAAGTATTTATGAATATATTTTGTGAACCACAATCCATTTCAGGTTCATCAAATATAGTACCAAAAATTAAATATCCTATATTCACCCAGTTGTTATTATAAGGACAGGGCCCAAGAGGGAATAAAAGGCAAGAATGGTAAAAAGAGATGCAAGAAATAAATGAGAATTATTTATAGACAGTGATTGTTAACGAAGTAGGGGCAATAAAGATAACTATAAAAGTATTATTACTTACGATCTTGGATATAAGGAATAAGGAGGATTGGATACCATCAACTGGCTAAGTAAAGAAACAAGGATCAGCACAATAATTGGCATCAACTGAATGAACATGGAGAACCCCCCCTGGAAAACAAAACAGAAATCAATGTAAAGAACTGCCGGATATGTGGTTTTTTTTTTTAAACTGAAAGGAATCTATCCAGCCCACAAAAACTAATCAGAAACTGTGTACCTGTATCAGATCCCTATAAATTTTCTTTAAAGCTTCTGAAATATGTGCATCTTAATAAATCTTGTGTTATTAATAATCCACGATTTTTAAATTTAATACTGTTTAACTGTAACTTATAAATGTTTTAAATCCATTACCCTGTATTTTAAAATAGGCTTCCTTAAAATGTGTTCTAATTTCAACAATCCAGTTTGCCAAATAGACATATGTAAAGTGTTCTGAGTTCAAGGAATTCCAAATTCAAAACACCATTTAGACCATTTTGCAGGTCTTCTGAACTTGAAACATTAAGTTTCCTTGACATAATGGAATTTTGAAATCAGAACCTTTGTTATTAATGCCCATAATTAATGTGATCCAGACTGAGAAAACAGTACAAATAACAATCTACAAAATCATGGCTTGAAACTGATCGAATATTGTTTTCCCATATCACTAAATAGCCAGATTCCAGAATTCTACAGCTTTTTTCAGGCTGCAATATATTAAGGTGATCAGATAAAATCTTTGAAGAATTGTTTAAAGAAAGGTATGGTTCTGCAGTAGAAATGTCCTTTTCAAATCTCTGTATTAAGCAGAAGTCTTCCCTCCCTCCCTACAGCCTGGGGTGCTTGGGGGGGACACCCACATGAGCTTTATACCTACGAACCCAACATTTAGATTAGACTATATTAAATTTATTAGCATTTCATTTTTTACTTGCACATTCATTTATTAAATGTTACAGGCGTGCCTTTTTTAAAAAAAAAAGTTTAGAAAATTTAATATACAGAAAGGCATCCCAGATTAGACTGAGGAAATAGTTATTCAGAAGAAACTTACATCACCCCTTTCCTCTTCTCTTTCGTGTCCGCTATGACGATGCTGATTATGGTGACTATATCCAGACCGTCCGTTAGAAAAAGAATGTACACTTCCTATAAACAAAACCAGATGGAGTTGATAGAATTTAAATACAAAATTAATGTTTTAGAAACCTTTCATTTGAATCTAGGAATGGCAACCTGCAGAACCCCCTTCAAGCACAAATCTGTTTGATGCTATTTAGGGGTAGAAGACATAAATAAATATAGCATAAACCTTAAAATAGATTTACTGTAGCATAAAAAGAAAGAAAAAATCCTTAAGCTATCTTCTGTCCCTTAATTGCGAAGAAAATCCTGAAAATGTTGCCATTAAACTGTATGGCATTTCCTTATCCATTCTGCATACAATCTTGCTCACTGCAATTCTCAATCTCAATTGTACAATTTCTATGGTTGATCAAAAAGTTGCCCATCCTTGCATGAGGCAATTCAATTGCTCTAGTTTTGTCCTAGAGCAGTTTTATAATTGATAATGTTAACACACACAGTATTTAATTAATTTGTTACGATGCTGCAAATGAATGCTATTTTAGGATAGAGATTTAATCAGTTTTATGACTGACAAAAAAAAAAAGTCTGAATGTTGTTTTTTAACAGCTAAACAGACCTGTTGGAAAGGCTCCTCCAAAGAACATGTTGAAGAGGTCCTCTGGGGTAATATCGGCTTCACATCCCCTGTGGAAATTAAATCTACCACTGCCTGGTTGATTGCAGGGGTCTTCGCTGCCTGTAAGATCGTACTGTTTGCGTTTTTCTGGATTACTTAACACAGCATAAGAGTTGCCAATTTCTGAAAAGAAAATGTAAAAGAAAAAAAAAGGAAGAAAAAATCTGAAATGAATACAGATATGACTACTGCTGTCCAGCAACTCAAAGTGTAAAAAATGAATATGTTTATATCAGAAAGCAAAAATTAAATATAGCATGATTTGCAATATCCTTTTCCACACATCGCAACAACCATGCTGTTGAAAATGCAGTGTGTGATTTGCTGCATACTATATTTCGGCCTTTTAGGAATTGGGGAACCCCACCCCCCAATAAAAAGTTGCTGCAATGTTATCACCATTCCTGTTATCTATTTCTAAAAATGTGCATAGCCTGAAGGGCTTAGTTTTGTAAAGTGTACAAAAATTCTTGAGATGATGGAAGTTCTATTTTGTAACAATTTTATATTGTTTAAACTTACACTCAACTCTTTTTATTTAAATTGCTTTTATGTTTATTTTCTGCACACTATTCTGGAAAATGTGGTAAGTTTCATAAGATGCCAAAAGTAAATACCAGTAATGAAAGTCAGAAAGAATCACCATACAAATGAAGTGTTAATCTTTCCTGAGATATAACAAACTAATTTTTGAAAAGCTTTTCTTTGGAAGGAAGGTGATGGATAGATTTTCTTGCCATATCTGATCACATTTTGCTATTTAATTTAAATATTCTATAAACCTAGAATTCCTAAGATATTTTTGTCTTCAAAAAGCATTCTTCCTGAGATGTGCAAAGTTATATTAGATCTTGTTTACCAATTAGAACAACTAGAGAGGCTGATTTAGGTGTAGCTAAATTTGGTTTAAAAACTTAAAAGTACTGTTTTGAGAGATTTAGTGTTATTTGGTTCCAAAGTATTGTTCCAATTTCCAGAGGGAACTCTGGATTTAGTAGGTGATCAGCGAGAAGTGCAAAGCTGATTTTCTCCACCTTATTTGTCTTTCTTCTGCTATCATTTCAGCATTTTCTTTGAATGTACCTTTTGACAGAACTGGTTTGATAAATTTCATTCATGTATTCAGAACTTAAAATGTAGTAGCATACAGCTTATAATTAATTTTCTTTTGCCAACTCAAGCAGACTAGTTTCTTTGAAAAGATTGAGTATGCTGGCTAGAATCAAGTATCCAATAGTAGAATGAAAACAAACAGGAGTACTTGTCTGTAAGTGGTGCTGACTGAATTTTCCTCATAGAAGAATTTACAGGTCAATTGCCTCATCCATCTTGGGCAAACAAAAAAATTGGATTGAGCTTTTATCCTCACACAAGATTTTTTAAAAAATGCCATTAGAATATATTTCTGGATATATCCTACTTTAAAAAGATGTATAAGTAACCTAATCAGTAAAGCACCAGCAATAGTCAGTTCTGCCTTGGAGTATTTTCTTATAAAAGAATAATGAAATATTACTTTTAAAAGCTTCCGTTGCTCCTGGTGCGTGATTTTTGTCAGGATGAAACTTCAGAGCAAGCTTTCTGTAAGCTTTCTTCAAGTCTTCTTCACCTGCATCTTTTGACACTCCAAGGACCTCATAGTAATTTTTACATTTTTTTATGCTGCAGAATAACAAGAAGCAATTCTTCAGAGACCAAGCTATAATGCACATTAAATCTCAAAACACAATGCGAGAAACTTATTGTTTAATTTTCAAGGTTACATAACTTTCCTACTGTTTCTAGAGCTGATATTTTTATCTTAGACTTCATGCTTATTTTAACAGGTATGTCGTGGCAGATATCTATGGCATTATGATTTCAACCAAATCTTTATATCTGAGATGCACGTGGCTGTGATTAACAAGAAAACCACTTTTCAGAAGTTAAGATTTATTCAGATAGAATGATTGGGAAACAATTACTATTTCTATTTTTTTCAAAGACTTGCAAATATTTAAACCCATACCTAAAAATATGTTTAATATTTATAATTTATTTTCTTGATAGACTACTAACACATCTAGAAAATAACAGGCACATCCAGATCCAGTCACTTGACAAGTTATATGAGTTGTATTTTCAATATTATTAGTATAATCTTCATTATTAATTATAGTATTATCAGGTCAATGATGCAACAACTAAGAAAGATGTTTCAAACACCAGAGACTATAAAATAAAAGAGTACCTAAGGGATAGATAGCACAACTACTTTTCAAGAATGGACCAGAATAATGAAGACAATTAAGAAGGAAAGGTTTCATGTCTTCTCCCTCAGTGAAAGAGCACTTTTACCTTATTGTAATACAAAAAGACTTTGCTTTATTCGTAAAAAAAAAATCAATGGATTAGGATTAGTCAGAGCAAAATTGTAATCGTTACTATTTAGTTGTGAAGTTGCTTTTTCTTTATTAGAAAACTAAGTTCATTTTTTAGAAGTTTGCAAATGAAACTTAGCTCCTATGATATTATCAGATTTCTTTTGCACAACCAAAATGAGCAGCCCTTTGCTCTCATTGCATAACTGCTTAATACTTATGCAATCAGTAAAGAGTTATTGCATCTTTCCCAGCTCCCACTTGTCACTGAGCAACACTCAGTTGAAGAGCTACAACAATCTGAAAGGGAGCACTGTCTCTTGTGTATAGGACACAGAAGACGGAGAAGAAAACAAGCCTACGTTGGGTGCTTATATTTGTGCCTACCAACACATTATTAGAAGGGAGGAGAGCAAAATGGCTAAACTCAGGCACACGAATTGATCAGCTGCCCTATTTTCTCTTACATTTCTTACCATTCAGAGACTGAGCATGTATTGTTCCATGTATTGTTGGAATATCTTTAAAATATTTTCTGCTTGAAAACAAGACAAACCAATGTTGATGTGACAATAAACAGTGTTAGATTACCTTACATTGATAAAGGTAATGTAAAATTCCTACTCAGTTACAAAACTCACTGGATAACTTCATTCTGCTTACTACCATATTATTCCGGGTTGCTCTGACATTAAAATCATTGTAGTAAAAAACATAATTTCCCTAAACTTGTTGAAAAAGGAACAAACATGTAGCTAGTGTACAATAAAATAATTTAAAGCACACTTTTGAATGCCCTTCATCATTAACTTTCTTAGCACCTATAATTTAATTGCATTCTGCTTATTTTTTACTTTACAAATGTTATCCCATACATGCCTACCTCCTTTTGAATGCAGAAATGCAGAAATACTCCGAAGGATAGATGTGAAGAAGATCAAAAAATAGCTTACTTAAAAGTATAAACAATTTGTCCTAGTTCAGTTTCAGATAAAGCTGTACTAATGTGATTATAAACAAAACTTAGTAGAATATACAAAAAATGAAATAACATATATCCATAATTATGAAATATGTATGTTCAAAATAAAGTCTTCAATGTAAGAAACCATTCAACATATTGATATATGTATTGTAAATGCACAATTTGTTTATAATGCAAACAAAAGCTCTAGTGACAAGTAAACTATTCCAAATTGTATCAGGCTTTATTTGATATTACCAAGACACTTTATTATTAGTTTGTCAAACGACATGAGTCTGTTCAAAAGGTGAATTCATGAAATTAAGTCATGCATAGGAGCATTTAGGTCAGTGGTTCTCAACCTGTGGGTCGGGACCCCATTTGGGGTCGAACGACCATTTCACGGGGGTCGCCAAACAAGGCTCTCCACCATTTTTTCCCCCTTTTCTTTGGCCACGGCCCTGGCACCCGGTGATATATAAGTGGTTGGGGGGTCACCACAACATGGGGAACTGTATTATGGGGTCGCGGCATTAGAAAGGTTGAGAACCATTGATTTAGGTGATAAAAGTTTTTCCCCAAAGCACTGACTTAAAAACAGCACAGTATCTTGATTTATACCAACCTCCTGAAAACACAGCGACACAGGCTGCAATCGGGTACTTTTTAAATTACCTATAGGCAGCATTGCACTAGCATTTTTAGATGAAGTGTTATAGAGCAATCAATACCTTTGTACTCCTTCAATTTGCTCCTTGGTGTAAGTCTTCCCAACTTCACCTGCAGCAGATGCACTGTTGTCCTTCATGTTGTTAATTTTACTTTTATCATTTTTATTTGCTGGTTTTCGACAGTGAGTACCATTTCCAGCTGTACTCCCATTCTTCATAATTGCCTCCAATAATACTAAAGAGAAAAAAGTGCAAATAAAATATTCAGATATTTCCATGACTTATGCCAGTTCAATATTCTTCTAAGAGAAGATATAAACGTCAAGTATTTGTATAAATAGCACTGTACACTATTTATAAGAATGAAGTTTTCTGCTCCAATCTTTAGTAACATAGAGACATACATTAAAAAAAAATCTGACTTTTACCTAATTATAGTACTTGCTTTTGCTAGCACAAGTCTATATTTACCCAAAAGTAATTATCACTGAGTACAATGAGTTTATCCCCTGAGTAAGCATGCATAGATTTGTACGCTTACACATTCTTGAAAGAAACAGCGAAGAATATCAGCCTCTTCACTTACAATAAAAGTAGGCACTGCCAATTATCTTGCAGACATTTATTTGTAAAATTTTATACCTAAATGGTTGTACAATCGTTTAATACAATGTAGATCACTGTAAAAGGTATGTGATAATTTATTATTGAAAAATAAAAAGCATATTAAATATAAACAATATATGTAAAAGCAGCCCATATTCATCAAGCTAGAAATTCTGAGAGACGGAATGCTTGAGAAGTTTTTCATATACAGTGGGGCAAAAAAGTATTTAGTCAGCCACCAATTGTGCAAGTTCTTCCACTTAAAAAGATGAGAGAGGCCTGTAATTGTCATCATAGGTAGACCTATGAGAGATAAAATGAGAAAACAAATCCAGACAATGACATTGTCTGATTTGGAAAGAATTTATTTGCAAATTATGGTGGAAAATAAGTATTTGGTCAATATCAAAAGTTCATCTCAATACTTTGTTATATATCCTTTGTTGGCAATGGTCAAACGTTTTCTGTAAGTCTTCACAAGGTTGGCACACACTGTTGCTGGTATGTTGGCCCATTCCTTCATGCAGATCTCCTTTAGAGCAGTGATGTTTTGGGGCTGTCGCTGGGCAACACGGACTTTCAACTCCCTCCAAAGGTTTTCTATGGGGTTGAGATCTGAAGACCGGCTAGGCCACTCCAGGACCTTCAAATGCTTCTTACGAAGCCACTCCTTCGTTGCCCGGGCGGTGTGTTTGGGATCATTGTCATGCTGAAAGACATTTCATCTTCAATGCCCTTGCTGATGGAAGGAGGTTTGCACTCAAAATCTCACGATACATGGCCCCATTCATTCTTTCCTGTACACAGATCAGTCGTCCTGGTCCCTTTGCAGAGAAACAGCCCCAAAGCATGATGTTGCCACCCCCATGCTTCACAGAGGTATGGTGTTCTTTGTATGCAACTCAGCATTCTCTCTCCTCCAAACACAACATGTTGAGTTTCTACCAAACAGTTCTACTTTGGTTTCATCTGACCATAGGACATTCTCCCAATCCTCCTCTGGATCATCCAAATGCTCTCTAGCAAACTTCAGACGGGCCCGGACATGTACTGGCTTAAGCAGGAGGACACGTCTGGCACTGCAGGATCTGAGTCCCTGGCAGCGTAGTGTGTTACTGATGGTTGCCTTTGTTACGTTGGTCCCAGCTCTCTGTAGGTCATTCACTAGGTCCCCCCCATGTGGTTCTGGGATTTTTGCTCACCGTTCTTGTGATCATGTTGACCCCATGGGGTGAGATCTTGTGTGGAGCCCCAGATCGAGGGAGATTATCAGTGGTCTTTTATGTCTTCCATTTTCTAATTATTGCTCCCACAGTTGATTTCTTCACACCAAGCTGCTTGCCTATTGTAGATTCAGTCTTCCCAGCCTGGTGCAGGTCTACAATTTTGTTTCTGGTGTCCTTCGACAGCTCTTTACCATAGTGGAGTTTGCAGTTTGAGGTTGTGGACAGGTGTCTTTTATACTGATAACAAGTTCAAACAGTTGCCATTAATACAGGTAATGAGTGGAGGACAGAGGAGCCTCTTAAAGAAGAAGTTACAGGTCTGTGAGAGCCAGAAATCTTGCTTGTTTGTAGGTGACCAAATACTTATTTTCCACCATAATTTGCAAATAAATTCTTTCCAAATCAGACAATGTGATTGTCTGGATTTGTTTTCTCATTTTGTCTCTCACAGTTGTGGTCTACCTATGATGACAATTACAGGCCTCTCTCATCTTTTTAAGTGGGAGAACTTACACAATTGGTGGCTGACTAAATACTTTTTTGCCCCACTGTATAAGTAAGTGTATACAGGTAGTCCTCAACTTACGACTACAATTGAGCCCAACATTTCTGTTACTGTGAAGAATTTGTGAGGTGAGTTTTGCTCCATTTTACGAATTTTCTTGCCATGGTTGTTAAGTGAGTCACTACAGTTGTTAAGTTAGTAAGTTTAAATTAGGATGGTAATAAAAGAAAACCAAGGATAATTAGAAAAATCTGTGCTATATACCAATTAGAGTTTAATTATAATGTATTTTAATATTAACAGACTTGTGTAAACATGAACAATGCATATATGAATGAAATTTGAGATAATGAAGTTATTTAATTTAATCACATATCCCTGGGGTAGCCAATGCAGTTATACAATTTTTAATGAACTAAATGAAACATTTACATTTCTATGCTTGCTATTGAGGTGTTAACATGATGGAACTAAAAAACCAAAGTATTATCTATACAAGGATATTTCTGAACTAATGAACTATTTGGCAATTGTCTTAACATTCCCAATTTAAAATATATTAATTGTAAACCGTTTCTTGTTTTAGTAAAAAGATTAAGATACAATCTACTGCTATATCCTGAACTTCATACGATTAACAGCTTATCGAATACATTTAGCACATGATGAATTCCTCTTCTTGTCAACCTAAGGCATCCCTTAATATTTTTATTCATCCATTCACACAGTATGCAATTAATAGTTTGCTTATTTATTTGGTTGATTCCCTGATATACCATTCTGTTTATACCAGGGTTCAAGATGGCACTCTTTTACTTTTCTTCACACAGGTAGTCCTCACTTGGATCTAGGGGTTAAGGCATCAGACTACAAATCAAAAGACTATGAGTTCTAATCCTGGCTTAGGCATAAAAGCTGCCTGGGTAACTTTGGGCCAGTCAGTCTCTCTCAGCCCACAGTCAAGCTTGGGCAGCAAGCTGATTAGTCAATTTCCCTCACAACCAGTAGATCAGGGGTTCTCAACCTTGGCAACTTTAAGACTTGTGGACTTCAACTCCCAGAAGCTGGCTGAGGAATTCTGGGAGTTGAAGTCCACAAGTCTTAAAGTTGCCAAGGTTGAGAACCCCTACAGTAGATCAATACTCAGCTGATTAAAAAAAAATGCAGGGAAAACACCAGGAAGGAAAAAGCTAGTCCTCACTTACTGACCTCAGTTGGGACTATCAACTCCAATGCTAAGCCAAGTGGTTGTTAACTGAAACTTCACATGACCAATTTACGACTGCTGCAGCTCTTAAGCAAATCACCATGACTTGCGACTTACTGTTGGCTTCTGCATTGACTTTGCTTGCGGGAAGCTAAGTAGGGAAGGTTGCAAATAACGGTGGGTGTTACAACGATTGTAAGTTGCCATTCTAGTTGCCAAGTGCTCCGATCATTTCTATGAGAACATGGGGATGTTGTGACAGCCTCAAGTTCAAGGACTGGTCATAAACATACTTTTTCAACACCACTGTAATTTCAAAGAGTCTTTGAAGAAACAGTTAGAAAACAATGACTAGCTGTGAGGTGGAGTGAAATAAGAGAGACTGACTGCTCCAAAGACATTCAGTGAGCTACTGTGGTAGATGGTGAACTAGAACTTGGTCTTCTGCTCCTAGTATATGTTTTAGCATATACTATGCATGACGATTTAAACCAGCGGTTCTCAACCTGTGGGTCGCGACCCCATTTGGGGTCGAACGACCATTTCACGGGGGTCGCCAAACAACACGATCCGCCATTTTTTTCTCAGCCGGCGCAGGGGGCGCCGCCGCGCATGCACACTGCACAGGGGCGGCGCATGGGGGCGCCATGCATGCGTGCTGCACAAGGGCCACCACCGTGCATGCGTGCCACGCAGGGGGCGCCACCGTGCATGCACGCCGCCTGCTCATGACCAGGGTCGCCGGTCTCTAAAGATTGAGAACCACTGATTTAAACCAAATTTCACTTTAGCTATTCCATGTTTTAAACAACTCTTGCTGTTTGTAGTATGTTTATTAACAGCTCAGAAAGTAAAAATCAAATGAACAGAATTGAAATTATTATTTTAAATTCAAACATTTTTCGGAGCTCCAAATAATGATTTAAGAATAAAAAAGAGAATATCTGGAACATACCCAATATTTTTTCTTAATACATTATATTCTCTTTTCTCCCTTCCCTTTGCCAAATAAAGACCATAAAAGAATAATACATTTTAAGCAATATCTAGAATGAAAATGTTAATAAACCTTTTTACTTTTATGATGCCTTTGATGTGTTTCAACAATTATATGAATCTTTAATTGTCAGTTGATGAATTTGCTTGACTGTGAAATTGCAAATTTAGTCATTTCTTTGGATGTTATATTATAGAACTATGCTAGGGTTTGGCTGAATTTATAAAATTTTCTTGGTCTATAATGACCTACATTTCAAGGTTGGATCTCAAGATAAAAGCGAGTACGAGTCCTTGCACAGCAAGAACAAAAATTTTTTTTGAATCAAATGAGCTTGAAAATATTACTGAGACTAAGGCCATATGGGATACAAAAAGAATTTCTGCAATCCCATTAGCTTTTAACATAAATACATATTGCAAACCAGCTGTTTACGTGAGGAATCATTAACTGAAATTACCAACCATTTACAGGCTTCTGTCATCATGTTTTTCCTCACCTAGAGTTCTTCAGCTTCCACCATTTTACCTGATCCTAATATATTTGTAAACATCAAAGCTATGTGGATTTATTTCAAAGCTAATATAACATGTTATGCCATTCAGTTCAGCACTGTTATTTGCAGAATGTCCTTGTATGATCAGTCAGAACGATGTAAAAATAAAGTATCTAATGGCAGTTGGATTTTTCTCTGAAACACTGCTATGATCATTTACACCAGGCATGCTGGCTGAGGAATTCTGGGAGTTGAAGTCCACAAGTCATAAAAGGGTCAAGTTTGAAGACCCCTGATTTACATCTAGTTTAAAGACCCAATTTCAGTTTACTGCAATTTGCACTATGGTTGTTGCCAGAGTCATTGGCTTTAAGCAACATTGTGAAAAAATAAACAATCCCTCATGAATCAAAATAAAAAAATAAGACAATCACAGAAAACTTGTAGGTTAAGCTAAAACAGGTGCTTTCAAAAGATAACTTAGTCATCCACAATATTCCTGAACAAATTTGTTCATTTGAAAATTCAAAAATTCAAATCTAACCTGCTTCTTCAGGTTTTTTTTTAACTATGAGGCTTTAACTACATGGCATCAAATGAGTGAAACAAGCATACAGTATTCCACATCAGGTATCTTACTTAAATGGGTCATTAGAGTAACAGTCCTCAACCTATGTTGTTCCACATAATGGCAGCAGCAATGTTGACAGCGGGGGGAGGAGACAGTTTCGCACATACAATCTAGCTCCCATCATGCGCAAATGACGTTTCACAAGCTTGCCCGTGGTTTGCATGTCTTGGTTCCCAATAGGCCATGGACTGGTACCAGTTCACGGCCCAGGTGTTGCAGATCCCTGATTTAGAGGTCAGTGACAAGGGTTAGGGTTGGATTCATGGCTCCTGCTTGAAGAGCAAGTGGCAACTCTGGTTGGAAGAGTTAGTTGCTTCCTTTACATTTCTTTTGATATGGGAATGAGTCACTTATAACACCACCTTTCCCCGGTTATATTGACCAGTCTTGTTGGATCCAGCAGGAGAGGCATGCTCTGGGTTTCATCTATTCGATAGTATCAGTGGGAACCAGGAAGAGAGCCTTTTCTGTCTTGTCACCTGGCCTCTGGAACAGGGATCCCCAATCCCCGGTCTGTGGACCAGTACCGGGCCGTGGCATGCCAGCAACCGGTCCGTACAAACAAGCAAAGCCCCATCTGCGAGATGCAGGCAGCACACAAACCATGCACCCTCCGGTCCTCGGAAAAACCTCTCTCCAAAGAACCGGTCCCTGATGCCCAAAAGTTTGGGGACCTCTGCTCTGGAATATCATTCCTCTGGAGAGGTTATACTTGCTCTGACCCTAGAGGCCTTTCATAAGGTTTTGAAAAAGGTTTTGCTACCCAGCTTGGGTTCTTGAATATTTGGTCGAGCCTGTATCATAGTTTTGTTGTATTGGATGGATTTTTATCTCAGTTGCTGTATATAGTATATTATTTGTTGTTATGTTTTTAATCTTGATTTATTCATTGTTACCCACACAGATTCATACATTGATGGTGGTTGCACAAACTGAATAAATAATATTTTTTTCATATATTGTACTTCTGCATTTCATCTATTCAGCCAATATCCCACAGCCTATTTATATTACAAATCATGCTATTCTCTAAAAATGTTTCTAATAATAGTTTGAAACTGACTTGAAGACTAGAAAGCCAATAGTGAAGGTTCAGCAGATAGGAAATTAGAAATAAATCAGTAATAAACCAGGAAAATAGAAAATAGGATGGAGCATCAGCAAGGAAAAGTGGGAAACTGTAATTCTACAACCACACTGAACATATACAGTATCTTAAACACTTAAGTTCCTATTTTAAAAGAATAAACTTTCCAGCATTAGGGCTACCAAAGACATGCTTCACACACGTGGAACTCTGCTTCGCTGCTTTCTGTTTTCCTTTTCCATGACCAATAAATGTGAAATATTGAAATAAACATGTACATAAAACTTAGGCTATCTTGCTGTAACTATCTCACATTCATGGGTACTTTGAACACCTAAATATCACTACACTTTACCATTCACCTCTGCCAAATACATAAAAAACATGAAACCTCTTAACCAATTTTAATGCCATCCTGAGTGCAGATTTCTCTTTATTGTATCTAAAGTAATCATGGCTACATTTATAAGATTTTGTCAACAAAACCATATTGGCCAAGGGAATGGAAGAACAGAGGACAGTGAGTTATGTAAAAATTAAAACCAAGAAAGACTACTACAAGGCTGTAGGACTAGTCATCTTCTCATAGGAGGGTGGAAAATAAGAAAGTTGCAAGAACATTAGAGTACGGTATTTACCCATAAGCATGGTTCACTGAATACTGATGAGGTTGCACATTTCATTACATTAGTGGTTATGCTCACATGAAATAGCTATCCACAGTTAATTTAATCAATTGAATTGTTTGCTTTAGTAGTTAAAATGTTAAACTAGAAGCTGGGGAATGTGAATTTTAGTCCTTTCTTATGCCAACTGGCTGACTTTTTGTGCCAGTTACAGAACTGTTTCTGTGGGATAACCGGAGGTGGGAGCACTATGTACACCATCTTAAGTTGTATAAAATAAAGGTGCAATATAAATCTAATAATAAATACTATGGTTTAGTTAGATTACCCAAATTTTATGGGCTCATAAAACACACACCACTAATTAACTAACAAACTGTCTTTGTTAGGTTACCATTGTCCTTGTTAATGTAGCATTCTTTGCTAATATCAGGATAATTTTGATATTATCAATATTAACTATCCAAGATAGTTTTGGCACATTTTGGTCAATATGCCACAATTGCAACCAAAGTCAAGTTTAACCCCCAAGCTCACGCTACTTTAGGCAAGCTAGGATCTCTAAACTGAAGATTATTTTATAAGCCAATAAGAGCTTTGGGCCTCCATTCTACCAATTATAAGATAAATACAAATATACAAATACATTTAGGATATAAATTTATGAATAAGAGTAAATGGGTAGACAGGAAGATGAGGACTTTAAATGGGGGTGTTGAAATGGTATCTGGCCACAGTACAAGGAAAAATTGTTTGCTCTTTCATAACTTTCCTTATCTCAGACGGGAATACCATAATGAGTTTGTATGTAAATTATGATATATCACATGACAGAATCTTCACAAGGGAATACCTAGTTCAAATGCGAATTTACTATGCAATCTAAGATAAACAGCTGTCTCAGCCTACCTCTCCCTTTGGGATAGAAATTGTTTGAATTCAGTTTTTAAAATGTGCTTTGGAGCACGTGGGATCATAAAGAAAATACCCATGTACAACTCAATTATGAAATCCTGGGAAAAGATACAGCTGCTTTAAAGAGTCTCAACCAGTCACTATGCTCTAAAGAACTTTCTGGAATAAAATCTACAGCTATCTCGCAAGGTCACACTAGCCACTATTAAAATAATTTATTGAATGTATTAGTGTTATCAGGATTGGTTTCTCAAACAAATGCACTTGCCATCCTCAATGATCCAAATCCTTCTCAGAATAGGTGGTAAATAAGCAGACCAAGATGTAATGTTCTATATAAGCACTCTGAGTGGCAATGATAACAAAGCTGAGTTATATATCTCATTAAACCATAATATGATCTGATTTTGGCTTACAGTATTGCATGAACAAGCCAAGATGTTGCTTTTAGGACATTTACAGCTTAGGGGGTTGAATGTGGGTTAGTCAACATACCAGAGCTTATCTAAGAACCTTGTTAAAGAGCCCCGACCGATACTGATGAAAGCACCCACCGGAAGCTTCTGCTTGCTTCTTGCTCTCTCTCTCTCTCATCTGGTGTAAAGAGCCCAAGCCAAGGCACCCAGGGAGAGAGAGCGAGCGAGAGGCCTCGGGCCATCTCTTAACCGAGACTGACGTGTCTCAAGCAGCGGGATGCTCTGCAAGGAAAGGGCGCAGGGCTGGCTTCTACCAGCTCCCCGCTGGCCTAAGGGCGACCTGTGCTTACCCTTGGCGGTCTCCGTCGGATAGAGCTTCTGGGCCTTACTGAGGAAGCGCAGCGCCCGTTCCCGGTTCCCGGTTTCCAGGGCCTCTCGTGCGATTCCGATGCATTTTTCCGCCTCGTCCCGGTTCCCTTCCATAGGCTTTTCTTTCCGCCGCCTCCGCCCGCCGCAGCGCAGAGAAAAGGAGCCTGACGGGGCCAGAGCTGCGGGGCCAGCCGGACGGGCGCCGAGGGAACCGGGCGCCGGGGCTGACTCGGCGGCGGCGACGACGACTTCGCTCGCACGGCCTTAGACTTACTTTAGGCCGCTGCCGCCGGCGCTCTTCCGGTACATCGTCCTCCCTTCGCCAAGGACCCAGTTTCCACAAACGTCGCGCCTGAGACCCCGAAGAGTCTAGGCCGACAAATAGCAGAGCCGCTTCTGCTCCTCTCGCTTCCGGGAAGTTCTGCAGCCGGTAGCGGAGCTGTCTTTGCGCACGCGCAGGGACTGCCTGGATTAAAATGCCGGTTCTGTGCGCTGCTCGGTCGGTTTCACGCAGAGCCGGTGGCGGGCAGCGCGTGAGCGACCACGAAATCACAGCCCACCAGTCAGGCCTGCTCCGTTTGACAGGCCTCTAGAGTTTTAAACAAATCTACTTTGTTCAACGGTTCAATTTCTATTCAGTCTTTGTTTATTGTTACTCTCGGTAGGAGATTAAAAGACTGTCATTTTTACAATTCAATTTGCTCTGAGGTATTTGCAAGCTGCCTTGAATTTGGTTTTACTACGGTAGCAGTATTAAGAAACTTTATTTTTCAGCTCCCTATAAGTATCTCCAAAACTATTCCAGATGCTTGAAACAAGATAGCAGCTTTGACAGTAAAAAGCAATTTTTCTAATACCTCAAGCACTTTATTAATTCATGTTTCAGGAATCATAGTCCACTTCATCAAATTAGTAAATATTAAGGGCCATTTTGACTAACTTCCATCACACAAAGACAGAATTAAGATGGCTGATACGTACCATTTAGTATTTCTTGGCAAGGCAGTTGGCATTAACAAGCCATGTTTAGAACTACAAGACCTATGGCTCACTTCATGCAACTCAGTACTTTCCTACATTACAGTATTGCTGAAGTCACTTGCTTCTTTATCAAGTAAGCATCACAATTAAAAGTATTTTTCAGTAACTTTATTTGCACATTATAGATTCCCACTAGACCAGGTAAGTAAATACCTGTTTATTTTTCCAACTTATTAACTGGGGTTAATAACAACCATCATGGTTAAAAATCTTTTAGCAACAACTAAATCTAAACTAATTGATATTCTATAGAAATACCTAAGATTTATGATTTGGTTTTAATTTAATAAACTTAGAATGTACATTTTTCTGTAAACAAATTATAGAACTATTATATGACATAAAGGGTTGACAAAGCAGAAATACAGTAATTCAAGTAATATAGCCCCTCTTCCCAGGAAACTCAGGACACAAGTAATGAAACGCCAGTTTTTTGAAATTATACAACATTCTAAGGCATGTATTTTTAGGTAAGTGAAGGGAGGACAGTCTTATACCAAGTATATCCATTAAGTACAATTGGAGATTTCAATTTTAGCATATTAGTTTGGGAACTGGATGGACTCATCTAAACAATGCTTATTTCAACTGGTAGCTGAAGCAACACAGCTACAAGTACTGAAGATTAGTTTTAAACATTAGAACAAGGCACAGCATGGACAGTACCTATGTCAGATGTGGCATGCAAGTCACAACGCTTAGCTTTACACATTAAACCGAAACCATAAAAGTCATATGGCTTAATGCGATTTCTTTGGCAGTGATTGGTCTTGGAACAGTTTTGCTAGGGTTTTAATCTATATGTGCTAGCATAGTGCATGCACATTAGTACTCAGTAGATCAGCAGTTTCCGTGAAATGGGGACCAAATAGTTAAACAATATAAATACATAGCTTACTCTCTAAAGTACTTTTCAAGAAATTGACCTAACTAATCATACACATTTTCAGCAACTTAAAAACGGTTCAGACATACTGCCTTAAACAATCCATTCATTTAACTCCTTTACCAGATTTAAAGTTCTGTACAAAGACAAACAATGCTGTTGTTTCTCTTTTACAACTTTTTGTTCTTAACTACAAGAGATTGACATCAAAGCTTTATAATTCAAGTTTTTTATAATTTCATTTAATTAGCAATGCTGATGTCCAAATCTGTTTTAAATTTCATAGTATAATTGAATACTCAAATGCATTAAAAATTACAGATTAGCAACAATATCAAGAATCCCATTAAAATCCAACATATCTAAAACAATCAAGAACCGCTACAGACAATAGCTTCTCTGAAGCCATGTAACACTTAAATAAGATTAAGACTTCAATGTAGAATTTTGGTTAGAAAGCTTGATGGGCTCCATCTTCAAGATTAAAGAAAGGCAAAATTGTATTTCACAGATGAAGTCCACTGGAAATCCACTAACAGTGAACAACATAGCTTTTTGAAAGTTCTAATATGTAATCCTTTACACTGTTTTTTGTTGACCTTTTTTTCCAATGAGAGATTTATGAATATGTGGAATTACACCTGAAAGAAAAAAAGGAAAAGATTTTTTTATCAAGTGACAGCACAGAATCATTAGGTTAAAGCATCACCAACTAGAGATGCCACAAAATAGTAAAATCAGCACATACCTCCACCAGCAATTGTTGCTTTGATTAATGAATCCAGTTCTTCATCACCTCTTATTGCAAGCTGCAAATGACGAGGAGTAATTCTCTTTACCTTCAAATCTTTAGATGCATTCCCTGCCAGCTCAAGAACCTATAGAGATAAAAACAAGATAAACTGTTAATTGCAAAGCATCCATGTAAAATGCCAAACAACTATGTCTTCATTGAGGATTCAATGACCTACAGAGAGGTTAAGGAAGCAGGTTCCCACAAATGATGTTTGACAATCCATCCTCCTGGAACATATCAGAAATGCTGGAAAGGAATTTGGAGAATGGCACATTCCCCCTGAGCTATGTAATGCCATAAGGCAATCGGACTACAGCACAGCATTATAAGAATGTGAGAACATCCTATCCAACAGTGATTTTCAGGTAGCGCATACCGCATTGAAAAATATGTTTGGAGTGTTTTGTTCTATGTGCACACACACACACCACGGCTGCTTTGCTTTGGACAACAATGATTTGGGGTAATGAAGAATGGAAAAAGCCAATGTTAGTGACTGCAGAAAGAAACAAGTTCAGGAACAGATGGATCAGAAAAATATGCTGCCGTGGGAATGGTTGAGGACAGTAGAGCTGCCATCTTTTTTTAAAAGAAATCTAAAGCTTTGAATAACATCTAAGGTTTTGGTTCTGCAGACTGTGGCTGATCTTGAACAATTTGGCAGAAATCCAAAGTGTAAGATTCTAGATTTGAAGTAAACATTTCATTTCACGCACACCATATAGTTAAGTTATTTTGCGCTGGCCAAAAGTGAGTGTTAGCCAACATCATAATTATATACAAGATCATAATCTAGAGTGCTTGCTCTGTCTATCTCTATTTCAATTTGTTTGTAAATTGGTAGCCAAATTACTTCTGCTTAAGTTTTTAATAGCCAACATCAACAGTTTATGCTCAATTATTGCTCCATACTTTGGAAGGCCACATACTATATTGTGTTTTTCAGTCCCCTTCTGCATTTCAATTTGGATGTTTTTTCCCCAACTGATTTTCTTCCTTTATAACTCAAGATATATCAGCTATGCTAAGAGAAAAATGCTTAGGGACTTTTGAAACAATATTTGTTTTTATTTGCATCCATTTGTTTGTATGCTACTCTAGGATAACTATAGCCTGACTTTTGGAACAGAAAAAGAAATCTAATAAATACAGCTATTGGAAAGATAAAATACAATTACATCCTGTAAGTCCTATAATGTAAAATGCTTTTACCCTAACCAAGCTCTCACCTCAGCTGTGAGGTACTCTAAGATAGCAGCACTATACACAGCAGCTGTAGCACCCACACGTCCATGACTTGTTGTCCTTGATTTCAGGTGCCGGTGAATACGACCAACAGGAAACTGCACACAAAGAAAAGAATTCCACACCTAAATATTTGTTTCAAATATATGTTTTGTTTTAAAAAAAAAATACGAACTAGTCAAACTCTTAAAAGATTTAAGAAATATTGAAATATTTAATATTCCTTTCCAGAAAACGCAAAATGTATCGACTTTGTAAAAGACCTGCCTACCCACCTGTAAACCGGCTCTTTGTGAACGAGATACCGTCTTGGTTTTCGTCTTTCCGGAGTCCTTCCCAGCTTTTCCTCCAGCCTAAAGCCATTTTGGGGAGGGGGCGGGGGGAGGAAAGGAAATCACTTACACGTAAAATGTTAGTCCCTACTGACACCATATATTCTTTCCCCCTCCGCCCCTACAGAGGGGAGTAAAGGAATTCTTTCCAGCACTAATCAACGTTGCAAAGGCGCAAAAAAACGAATCGCGGCTGTTCCGCAGAATTTAAATGTAGAGCCGCGGAAGCGCGGAGACATGCGCGTTGAGCAGAATCACGTTCCCCACCCTCTGCTGAAATATTCGCCGCGCACGCGCTTACCACCATTCCTAGACAGTATGAGCGCATGCGCCTCAAGAACTATATAACGCTCGACCACCGCAGTAGTGTGTGGGTAAGACCGCGCCCGTTTTAGCTCCTCTACCCTAGTTTTTCAAACCTGAATTCTGTGGGGAGTATGATATGTACACTCCCACAACGGCTGTCTCGTTTCTGAAGGCGCCTTGAGGGAGAAGAATCCGCGAGCTCAGCCGGGTGCCCCCGCCCCGCGCTTCCCAATTCTTCCTTTTAGCCATATGGCTACCTTACCATTTTAAATGAGGTCTGCCCACCCGCGGGAGGAGAAACGAAGAGAATCGTTTAGGCCAACCAAAGATGACTACTCGATATTTTGATTGTTGCTGCTATTTTGCGACGGCGCCAGTTCAAAACTGCACCCTCTCCCGCCTTCTACCAGCCCTTTATACCCGTCTGTAACGTCTCAACATCCGGGAATCCTGCTCGCAAGCCCAGCCAATCGTCACAAAGGGGCGATTCGTCCTGCGCTCCCCATCGACCAATAGGAAGTGAAACAAAAAAAAAAAACCACGGACTGTTAACTGTTCGGAGAAACTCGTGCGGAATCGCTACTTTTAAGCGCCGCCTCTTTTCCAGTCACTCGCTGATAGATCTCTCATGTAGAGTGGATGAGCAGCGTGGCAAGGCGACTTGGTTTTACCCGGGCCTCGAATAACGGAATTCGGGGGAAGGAGTCAACTAATCCAGCCGCTTGCTCAAGCAGGAGACCATTCCGGACAAATGTGTCCGTATTTGAAAACCTCCGGTGATGGGACACCCACAACTTCTGGAGGGAAACCATTCACTGTCAGGAAATTTCTCCTTAGT